GAAAACTACCATATTAAATTAAATAATGGAATGAATTAAAAATAAATATTAAATTCAAAACGATTAAGTACTCAAAATAACGATGCACTAAATAACTAAAAGTAATCATGGACTAAATAATTAAAAATAAAAGAAAATAAAGGAACGTCATGTCAAACACGTAGTTCAAGCGGTCGTTGCCACAAAATAAAACTTTGAAAAATATAGTCATTGGCAGGAATTAAAATTTTTTCATGCCTTACGTCATTCAAACTCATGTGCGTTACTCCCGGTTGCCACTTGATTCCAAGATGGGGGCGCTATTTTCGGGTGTCACGTGATTGCAAGAGTACGGCGACCATGCTCCTTTTCCCGTGATGTCACTTCCGTGTCCCGTTTACCCTTGCTTTACTACTTGAACATTTAAATATTCTTATTCATGAGATGCAAGGAAAAAAATAAATTCATCCCCAATCTGTATACTTGTACTAAAGTTTATATTGCTAAGCTGCAGTATTGGGAAACACAACTAAAATAAAAACATTTCGTACATTTCTTGCATCTTAAATCCTATCCTATTATTTCATATGAAAAGTCTGAAAAATAGGCAAGAACGTAGAGAAATACGTTCTGGTTCGTAATGACTGAATGCACATAGAACCGATGAAAGGTTGATGAAATTTATTTTCAAAAAAAACACTTTAATGTTCTGGAACTTTTCGCAAAAAGGTACTCCTACAGCTCTTCTCAGTGTGACAGAGCACAAGCAGCAGTTACCACTTCAAAATACCAAGAATGTTAAACAGCAGGTAACGCAAAGAGCGTCAAATGAGTGGGCTCGCGCAGAGATACTCCGATCTTTAGTACTCCAAACTCTGAGCAAAAAACTAAAAACTGATTCAGACTTTGTGATATTACCAAGCTATTGTAAAATGCTTCGTTGCCGGTTCCTGAAGTAAAGCTTGAAGACACATGACATAATAAGCACCGGACGTGGAGAGAATCTCCAAGGAGAAATAGGAGGCAAGGAAGATTGATAGCTGATGCTCTCTCCGATCTTATATAGTTCTCCCTCCCCCGTCAGCCGAGAAATTTCCAGTACCTTCGACTTCTCGAAACTGCAGAGAGACATGCATAGTTACAGCTACATAAGGGGGAGGGTTACAGTTACAATTACATAATGCGGAATACGGTGACAGTTGCACGGGGATCGGACCGAAATGTCGTCAAATTTGGTAAATTTTGATGATTTTTCGGCAAATTCAGCGATAAAATTAATCGCCAGCTTGGCGCTATCCGTTTACCTCAGTGTTAAATGGAATTCCTGTAACCCTATTTTTCCGCGATGCTTCGCATTCTGGTGGCTTTTATATTGTATTATACAAGATCTAGTACAGTTTACATATACTTTCACTAAAATTATATTTATATGTACATAAAATTCGTAACAGTAAGAACGATGACTTTGTTTGCGAGTACAATTATAAAGGAACAATATTTTTCTTGGTGAAATTTAATAAGCCAAAGAAATAAATCCGATTGACCAATGAACATTTACAGTCCATGAGAATTCTCCCAGTAATTTTTCGCCAAAGCTTTATCAGAGTTGTAACATCAAATAAAGACATTTATAAAAATTAAATAAACATTTTTGTATTATTCTCCATGTGTCGAAAATTATTTAATAAATAAAAGAAAGAAAATAACTTGCTGAAATTTCAGATACTCCCTGGGCATTAAAAAGTGTATTTAAGATCTCGATAAATACTTAAAAAAAGCAAATGTTTAGGAATATAAATTTCTAGCATCGGTTGAAAATTGAAATAAGAAAAACTTGCTAAAGAGAGAAACATTTTAGAATAAACCTAACTGGAGAAAATTATTTTCTTTTAGGAATTTCGAACCCAAGGAAGAAGATATATAAAAACATTAGAACCAGCTGTTCTAAATTTTTTCCTAAAGGATTGGGAAAATAAATATTTACTATTATTTTATTCCATGAAAAATTTAAATTTTCTCCGAAATTCTAGTCTCTATAGATGGAAGTATTAGAGATGCGTAACAAAACTTAAGTTCTCCTGAAATTCATTCCGTATTTGCTTAACAGATGGCGACACTAGCTTAGTGCGGAGAGTCAGCTCTTGGAACTATTTAATCACTTTAAAACTTCTTGTTTCTATTAAAAAAAAAAAAAAAAAAAAAGAAAGAAAACAATGAAGATTGAAAACAATTGGAATTTTTTTTTTTTTCGTTTCATTTTGAAGCAGCGCTTCTTAACCACAGCATAGCTTTTGGAAACATCTTGGAGGGCTATAGCATGTTTACATACACATGACACATACATAAGTCACTGCGGCGCCTGCGGGTCATCTTTAAAATGTTTCATCCAAGAATATTTTAATTACCAGACAGCTATATGTGCAATACATTTTATTTTGGCCGTATGTTGATTGGAGTACTATGAAAACTAGACACGTAAATAAGCTTCTATCGTGCTGCCATCTAGTAGAACAGATAAACGATAAATGAATAACCGTGTTTCATAATGCAATGAAAGAAAGGGATTAAAGATTGTATCATCTAAACCTGCAGATGGTCGTACTTTAGCGCGTCGCTGTATTTAGAAAGAAAATGATATTAATATAAATATGTCTCTTTTTTCCTCTTCCAGGTCAGTTAATTCGTAGTTCAAATATTTTGCATCGTAAGAAGCTGAAAATTGCCAACAAGAGTGTAATGTGGTTGGGAAAAAAAGGTATTTCTGTAAAAAACTGGAAATATTGGAATATATCACTTCAGATAAAAACCGACAATTTAAAATTTAATTTAGACTATGTGCTTACAATTCATAACATTTTGAATGAAGAGTTTTTAGCCCAAATGACGTTACCCAAGAAGGGCTGTTATTCTCAAAACGGGATTTTTTCATTTTTCAAATTCTTGCCACCAAATATTATCACCCTGTATTATAGTTAAAGAAATGAAATAATAAAGAATCTGCATGAACGTATGTTTCCCGCATTGTGAAAAAACAACGGTACCTAGAGTCATCCAATTTAGAATAACGTAGCCCTCCATCTGAATATGGAACCTGAACGCCCGAATTTGGAATTTGTTTTATTGTATATTTCATATTTTGTAATTAACAAATTTTTGATTAAAAAACTCAACAATTTCAAAGCGAGCAGTGGAAAAACTCTAAGAAATAAAACTTTTTTATCTCCAGTGCGTGAGACTGTCTGTCGGATATTCTAAAGATATGCGGTTTTTAAATACTTTCAGTCGAAAGTGGCGTTAGCCCAAATGTTCTCGAAACGTGTATGTGCCAGTAAATGGGGAAAAAAAAAAAAAAAAAAAAAAAAAAACTTTTAGACGCAATATAAAATCTTAAAACTTTCATATTTTTCTTGGTAATATTTCTCTATCGATTTAAGTGGAACTTAAGTTACTTGCTATTATAAGACGTGTGAATTGATATTTCGCTTTGATTTTTTTACTTATGCCGAATTTCTCCACTTCATCAGTTTCATCGAGAGGATTTTTTTTTTTTTTGATTGATTGTGAAGGCAATTTATTTCTTTCCTGATATCTCTCAAGAGAGTATAAAAATGGATTGATGAATCACACAGAATGATTAGTATTGTAACATCTACAAAATATGTTATCAGTAATTTTTAGATTTTTATTGAAAAGTTAAATTACATCACTAAAGGATTGAAGAATTCCAAGAAATCAAACTTGCTTCTTTTCAAATTTAAAAAGGTTTTTCGAAATTGTATCCCAAATAGAACACAACTTAAGTTTCAGATTATTTCTAGTAATTACCATATACAGTATGCAAGCAATGCATTTAAAATGTCAAAAGGTTTAACATAATTCATAACAGTTTTTTTTCAATCGAAGCTGATCAAGCTGTGAGTAGTGATTAGCAAATTGTGAAAAGCAGAAATTATCTATGATTTCTTAGTTAAGTCTTTCTTGTTAAATCCATTCAAATCATAACGTAAGTTAGTACTTCTATTACAGGTAAACAATCTACTCTCCACAGTCCAGTAAAGCGCAGCGTTTCGCTGTTGATTATAAGAAGCTTAACCAATTAGACAGTCTAATTGCTGCAATTAAGTGAGGAAATAATTAGAAAAATTAAGTCAACTAAGCACATGATTATCTTAGATTTAAATTCTAGATATTTCTAAACAGGCACGAAGTCTGAGCATGTGACGAAAATGGCGCTCATAAGAATGTCGGGTGTGTATGTAATTATAAGATGGCTGTTATTTTATGTACAACTCCCGCTTCTTTCTCTAGCGCGCATAATTTTGAAACCTGTAGTAAGCAGATCAACTTTTATCTCGCTAGATGACATAATTGCAACAAGTAACAAAATTAAGACTATATTGAAGATCTGCGAGGCGATTTCACAGAGCTAAGCAGGTGTAAAAATGAATATAATATCAATTTACAACTAAAGAACTTTACTCTGATTACAAAATATCACATCGAGAGATAAAAACAGAGGGATCAAAGATATTTGCAATTACTGAGGATTTTATTTCTTTACTAATCGTTATCTGAAAGCAAGAACTTCATTCGCAACACCTTTGCCCATTTATTAGCATTATCCTATAAAAGTCATAAATTCAAGGAATTTAGTATTTCAGAATAATAAATTAATTCATAAGAATCTGCAAATGTAAGTTATCATCGATTTTAAGGGACATTCTTTTTTTAACGAAATTTATAACAAAAAGATGTACATCTTAGAATCTAAGAAATACAGTAATGCATTTAGCGATAGAAGTTTCAGTTTTTAATCTTTTTAAAATTCTTTTATCTAAATATTCTGCCTGTAGCTATAATATTCAGTTTCATGAATTTTAATCTAAGGCGGATGAAGCATAATTAGAGAAATTAGTATAATATAATGCAAACGGGATTAATTAGATGTACATGAATTAGTGCTAAGAAATGATTTAACAAAGCAGAAATATTAACTCGAAATAAGTATGTACTGCAAAGAATCCATTTTTTTACAATTCAAATTTTATTCTGTAAAAGGTAAATTTAAAGTCTCATAAATTTAATTAGATAAATACACAGATAAATTAATGAAAGGGGAAATGTTGAGACCAGAACGTAGTTTGAGCATTTACGATTGTACATAAATAATATCATACATTATAGTTAACAAGACGTAGCTAGAGGAGGGCATTTTCCAGCCAGTGGAAAACTTTTGGGGGCGAAATTTTTCACGTGAAATGTTACTTCAAAGCAGTTAGTCATGTGACTCAATGAAGTGTAGAATATAGAAGTTCTGAGTTGCCGTTTGAAATTAAATTCAAAATCTTTTTTATACTACATTAATGTATTTAAAAGATATCACCACATGATTTCAATAGTTACACACTCTTGTATACCTTCTATACAGTCTGTCACAATTTTTGAATAAAAATTGCGAAAGTTATACAAATTATGATCAAGATGTCATTAATAAGGAAGAATTCCTAGATATGTTTCACAGTTTTATTTCCGTTATTTCTAGGGCAAACGGAACGAGGGCGTGGTAAGGTGATTATTTTGAACTTTATTGAACTTTATTGAATTAATTATTTGAACGCAGGTTATTCTAAAAGGTAATCTTTAGAACAAAGCTCTAAATATTGTAAAACTTACTGAAAACTTTCCTTACATTGCTTAAGTGCTGGGAGTTGTAAGAAAAGTTTTCTAAAAACCCTTTAACAAACATTTAAGATCTGGAAATGCATATTTTTCTTTTAAGAAATCATTCTATACTATCTACATATCACTATTTGAAACAATAAAGAAGATATATACAGTGTCAACCATGGTTTTCCTAATAGAATAATAATAAAATAATGATACTGTTTTAAAATATTGGAACTGAAGTTTTACTTTACAGAGCTTTAATCTGTTTCTCTCTATGCCATTTTGACATTTTTAACTATTATTTGTATATTTATATTTTATAGTTTTTTAATATTTGTATTTAGAATATTTTATTTACATTTTAGACACATTATATATATATATATATGTGTGTATTATATATATTAGTTATAATTTTGAAATTTTTTAGCTATTATTTCTGATTTTTAGGTTATTATTTGTTTGTGCATCGATATGGGAGGCAATTCCTCTAGCTACTTCATTAGAAATATATCACAATTTTTAAAACGACGCTCATTATCACTACTTGGCGAATAAAATGATCACAGTATTTGTTGGAGTTAATTGTTATCTCTCGCCCAATTGTGCGCCATCCAGTTCACGCTCGTTTTCCAACTGTTTTTGAGCGCTTCATCGAATTTGGAACGAAAGTGTTTCACAGCTTCATTTTCAGTCATGTCTAAAACCAGAGTCTCTCTTAGATAGTCGAGGTCTTTTTCACTGCTAAGTTCTGGAATACCCGTAGACAACATCATTGCGAATAGAGATATCACCAGGGGACCTTTGCGTCGTAAAATCATAAAAGCTTTTTCACAGTATTCTTGAAACCTGAAAAATACATTTATCATTACTCTTAAGTTATGAAAATTCTATAAAATTCATTATTTCGTATTATGCGCGCAGAAGTCCATTAGAGGATACTAGGAATAATGAATGATGCTCAGTAGGATATCTCCTGGTGGCCATTTATAATTTGGCAACACACCGTAAACACCGTATTCATCAAAGGCGTATTTTCGCAAAAACTACAAAAATTATTCTAAATGGCGCAAATATTCAAATTTAAAAATCTAATGAAGCCAGCGCATGACCTACCGCCAGTTCTCTATTCTAAATAGCTTCATTGCTATTTAAATTGCTTTAAATAAAATATCACTTCCGTTTGAACGTTTGTAAACAAAATCTAGTTTGTTGTTCCTCGAAAATAGAAAGGTGTCTGTAATACAAAATTTTGGATTACATTTTATAAGATATAAAAGACCTTATGCAAATTTGGTTTACATTTACATTTGGTTTACATTTAATTTGGTTACAAAATTTTGGATTACATTTTATAAGATATAAAAGACCTTATGCAAATTTGGTTTCTCTAAATGTATATCAACGTAATCAAATGTTTGTCCTCTTATTTTTTGAAATTAAACATTGCATTTTATTGAGCAATTAAATAACATATAATTTCAATGGTTTTTAATTAAAATAATTAAGTGTCTAAGATATATTTAAAATAAGTACTTTGAAACGCTAACCATAATTTAAATTTCTTCAGTGTTATTTCTTTATTATCAACAAATCTAAATTCATTTTAATCTGTTCGTGCATTTCTCCGTGATACTTGGGTATCATTACACAACTCGTAAGTTTCTGGAAGTACAGCTGAGTAATAATTAACATGAGTTTCGAGATGAGTAAGAAGTAAATTAACAGGTGCTTTCATTTCTGTTATTCGCTCTTGTGTCTCTTCATACCAACAGTGCAAAAGAATAATAAGTGCATTTCTGGTAACATGCCTGCATTACAAGAGTTTTGAAGTTCAACAAATGAAACACTGTTATAAAAATCTTTCTCTTCGACGGCTTGATGTAAATAAATATTATGTCTACATACAAGTCTAATAATAAAAACAGTATCATTATTAGTCACAGATATAGTCTAATATGTGCTGCATTATTTTAGATTAAACTCCTATTATAGTGATTCTATATTTCTCTTCGAAAATTTATTAAGGGCTCCAAGTAAAGTATTACTTCCGGTTTGTTATTTACAGTCAAAATCTGATGTACTTTTAATAATTACACAGTCAAATCCACGTGTTGTTCTAAATGACGATTGTATAAGTATCGTATATTAATACAGTAATTTTAAATGCCAAATTTCAGAAGTTTTGGATTATATTTTAATATGATTTTTCATTAAAAACTGCTATGAGTTTCATGTGAAATCCCACTTCCGGTTATCTACTAAAAACTATTATACACTTCAGGCTCTAATTTTACTCAAAATATAATCAATTCTTTATAAGAATGCAGATAGCTTATATAAGGAAAACAGAAATTGTGTAGAGTTATCGTGAACGAAAATATCGTTGCACACATACGCACAGGACCTCCAGGTATCTTAATTTATTTTTAACCAACTTCTCAAGGAGAGCAAGTTTGATTTTCTGGAGTTTAAAAATCTATAAAAATTCTAGATTAAAAAAAATGAATCATCGTTGTCTTGTTTTGTCATTTTGAATAAAATGTTTTCCTTTTGAAGATGAGTATGCAATTTATTAACTGTATAAACAGAAAAATCGTATAAAATGTTGAATTTCGAAATTTCTATAAAATAACTTTTATAAATTGAAAATTATTCCGAAATAATATTATTTACATCACTAAAAAGTAAGATGTTTTTACTGCTACTGATTTATTCAATACCATTTTTATGAACGATGCTCATTCATAAGTCAGGTGCCATCGTTATCAACGACAGAATATCACTTTTTTTTGTAATGTGCACACATACATTTTAACTTCATTAGCTACAGATAAAGAAGGTATGACTAAAACCTTCCAAAAGAAATCTGTCCCAATAGCGGCCGAACGGTAAATTCACAGAAAAGTGGTATTTTAATCACGGCGAACAGACTGGCCGCTTAAGAGCTTCCGTGGCTTGCTCTATGCTTAACGTGGATAACACTTTCCCTTAGAAAGTCTTCCTTAAAGGCATCCGTTTCATTAGGCAAATATCCCTGGTATGCTCCGCCATAAGCGATCAAACGAAACCAAACCTAAAAGTGCGTATTTTATACCTGCTATGCCAATTCTGGTTGTTAATTTTCCTTCTTTTTCTAATTAATGTTCAGCGCCTATGTTTTCAAAATGTTAAAAGAAAGAAAAGTGATTTCATCAATAAATTTTTGTTAGAGGAAGTAATGGAAAAAACTAATATTTAAAATTCCTATATTAATAATCATCCTAATCATTTTGAATGATTTTCTTCAATGATTTTAAGTGGTTAAAATATTATCATGCATTATAAATATATTCAGTGTGGAATTTTATTCTTGTATTAACGGATTTCTGTAAGATATCTTCAGACTTTAGATCTTTCAGTTAATGACATTTACCATTTCGTAAAAACTGATGGAATTATTGCGCAGTTACGCTTCAAAATTTATTAATTTCCAGCAGTGTAGTATAAAGCAATCGCTACTCAGTTTTAGTTTATTTAATAATAATTTAATAACTGCCTACCCTAGTGTAGTCTCTAGACGTAAATTATAATGCTTGAACAAATTTTCCGTTCGTTAATATAAAAATAACGATAAACAAAGTATTTGTGAATGTTTACCTGGTAAATTCCTGAGATCTTTGAGTGTGGCCTTTGGTAATGATGTATACAAAATCGTGTGTTAGGACGAAAGGTACGCGTTCACGTTTGAAACCAAATTTCTCTTTGAATTTTCCCAGAATGTGCCCAAAATCAACGTGAAATAACTGAAACAAAATGAATAAATATAAACATTTTAATGAAATTAAAGGGATAACATATACAATACTTACAAGTTCAGGCCTTTTTAAACCGTTTAATCCATTTCAGTCAAATTAATAAAAACAATACCATTTTTAGGTGCTTCGACTATACCTTCCAACCATTTTCAGGAATTTTATTTATTACTTTCTTAAAATTCACAATCTCTTTAATTTTATCATAAATTTTAGACACGTCGTGCTATAGGACAACATATGCTAAATAACGAAATACCAAACGAAATATTTGAAAATAATCGACGTTTTATGAACGTTATCGACGTTACTTTTCTTAATAGCTGAATCCAGAAGGTAAGTCGCTTTGGCAATTAAAAAACATACGAAAATTATTTTATTTCCACTCAAATATGGATGGCTTTTATATTTAGTTTCCACCATTATCCTGGTAATTACAAATAGAAATCATTTTTAGTATCCTTTCATCAAAGAATATTACAGCCTGTGATGTAAAGAACTTTCAAAAAAGTTCTTGAAGTTATTAAATGTCATTTTTGAGAAAGTACCAAGTACCTAAAGGTTTCGATATGCGTAAAATATGGAAAGCACTATAAAATTTGGACTACATGTGCAGTGATAAATTTATTTTTATCGAAATATATTGATAAGCTCTGCTCTAACATGTTATCAATCACAGCATTTATCTCACAAAATTGATTATAGTTTTTTGCTGGTATTATGTTCTGCGTAAAATAGAAACGGAAAAATGAGCAATTTTTCACAGGTGATTCTTTTGAATATTTGAAACACTGAAAGCGGTGGATTAAAGCAAACCTATTTTCTCCAAACATCATCTGTGACTGCTAATAAATAAATGCATTTAATTCGCATATGTGCAATGCTTAACTTTAGCACCTCGGTGATATTATTCGCTAACTGAACTTACTGTCTACGTACCCCTCCGCATCAACAATAATAACATCATTTAACTTTACCTGTCCATTGGTTTTGACCATAATGTTATCACTGTGTCTGTCAGCCACGCCCAAGACGTAAGTGGCCACACAGTATCCAGCGCAGGACAACGTGAATTCTTCAGCGGCTTTGCTCAAGCTAGAAAGGAGAAACGTGCTGCTATACATGTAGTATTCTTCAAATAATTAAAAAAATAATAATGTCATTTTAACAACAACAAAAGAATGATTTAATTGGTATCTGAATATTCGGCTGCAGTGAAAAAAAGAACTACACTACGTAGAATTGGGCAGAATAACTGAAATTTCTTTACGAGCTCTTTCAGAAGCGTGTTCACATAAAAAAATGATAAGGTATATCTCCCACCTTCCTAATGTGCCTTCGTGGTGTAGTGGTCAGCACACCGGGCCGGTATTCCAGAGGTCCGTAGTTTGATTCCGGCGAAGGCAATTTTGCTAATTTTTCATCTCTCTTGCTTTCCAATAAAATCCTAATGTCTCTACAAAATTTAGAGAGACTTTCGAATATAAACAAGAATCTATTACCTGAACTTTAAACATTGAACGCAATGAATCGATTTCACTATTTTTGTTCTACTAATACACTATTTTTTTTTCTGTCACTTGCCACTACAATGCAAATACTCGAGCTCCCAGAAAGTTTCTACATTGCAGAAGAATAAAAGTATCTTGACTGCCTTTGACCTATTATTGCATAGCCCCAACAGCCTGCTGATAAAACTTGAAATCCTTCTCTCCTAAAAGGTCTTTAAGTGGAACAAAAAGATGAAAGATTTATGATGCTAAATATGGATTGTATAAAGGATTAGGTATGCTGTGGGATTGCGACCATTCTTCATCTTTTGTACTTAGGCGTCAAAAGATGGGAACATACTTAGCCCTCCCTTTGTTAAACATAAGACGATTCCTTCTCGCAAAAAAGGCTTCTTTTAACATGTGATCACGCTAGAGGAGCTCTTTTAGCATAATAGGTTTATGTATGGAGCTAGGATCCAAAGGGTAGTATCCAATCCAAAGGTAAAGTTTCTTGTCCAGTAAAAAAACCTTCACTGGTGCCATCTAGCGACGCACATCACCATTAACAATTAATTTGCGCAACCAACTAGCTAATTGTTCTCATTACCAAAGATAACTTGCTATTATCCTAAAACTAAAAATGATACACCACCTTCTAGTAAAACGCAGTGTGGTCTTTAGCAATTGTTTCTTTATTATTAACGCTTATTTTAAGTTACATAACGGTTCCTCTGCCGATGATTCTCCGATTGCCGAGAATTTAGGCATGAACGGCAAACAACTTCTCTTCATCGTTTAAATTCTCCACCAACTAGTATGCGGCTCATTTTCAACTCTCACTTGGCCTTCTTAAAAAGCCCTATAATGATCATATACTCTAGACTGAGAGGCCTACAAACTGTCCAAGTTTCGAATAAAGCTGAGACGAAAGATACGTTAGTTAGTGAAAATGTGATGACGATTCTCTGAGCAAGGAATTTAATTTACATTCGGACCGGCATGTTGACTACAACTTAGAGTGTTGGCAAGAAAAATTCACACTACGGTTGGGGTAAACAGACATACAAGTTTTGCCCAATGAGACATAATTCCACTGAAATCTCTATAAGAACACAGCATTAAAATTCCTGTTTATACCTGAACGTCCGTAGTGAATCGTTCAAAAGAAGAACGTCAAGTTATTATTGCTTATAAATAATGAAAATTGGTAAAATTGTTAAAGTTTTCTCGAGACTTTACCTGTTTTCGTCGGGATTATGATCCTTTAACCATGCAAGTAAAGAACCCTTCTTAAATGCTGAGGTAGCAGTGAATCCTTTCTCTTTCTGTATGTTGGCAATAGTGTTCGCGTCCGGAACCACTTCGATGAGACCCATTTTGTGACCGGTGGCGAGGCACTGATAGGGTATCATTCTAAATTAAAGCAAAATTTCCTTTTATTAGATAATGAAAAGTTAATGCTGAAAACTTCACAATGAGTATCCGGTTGAAGGCAAACTATTTTTCAACCTGCGTTGGAAAGATCAGTGGTATTCAAAGTTTATGACAGTGCGATTCAATGAAATTGCAAACGACCTCAAAAATCAATTTCGTGACCCAACAGGAGCGTCGACACTTAGACATATAGCATCAATTCAGATTTTTAGGAAATTTATCCACCTTGCGACCTCGTTATGAATTTTCGCGATTCCAAATGGAATAGCGACCCATAGTTTGAATACCATTGGTATAGGATAAGCAGTGCATCTTTTTTCACAGCTACAGATAGAAGTGAGAGGCATACCAGACCGACACCTCTTGGTCACAATGTGTAGGTCACACTCATAACCGTACTCAAAATTTATTTAGAACAAAGATATATTTTAGCTATGGAGTTCACAAGTACGGGAAGAATATTACATTGCTCCAAAGAAAATATATTCGTTAAAAGATTTTCAACTTTCTTTGTATTTTTGGTGGTAGAATAAAATGAATTTTGTTAATCAAGGATTAGCAAAGTTATGTTATCTTCATTTTGATAAAGAGGAATTGGAGCAGTACTCTATTATCAGAACCAGGAAATGAGTCTGATACACTTAAATAAATTTTCTAATGAAATTATTCAGAAGTCATCAGTTAATAATGAAATTAAATAGTGCATAGTCATTGTTTAGAGCTGCATTGCCATTAAATTTCTAATTAGAACAATAAGAAAAACCTGTTTATGCCTTATAACTGAACTTGGCAAAGACCTGTGTAAGATGTAAGAGCTGCTAATTGTTGCATAATCATCTTTATTTTTTTAACAAGTGCGGAATTTTTTATGGCATACGTTTTGAGTGCGAATTCGTTATTGTCCGGATCCTTTTTAAAATGAAATTTACTTGTTAGTGAGCATTTGAAAACTTACTGAGTGCTGTCTTCTCTTTTCTCACATATGCAGAAATCAGTTAATGAAATTTTTCTATCATGTAAATGTGTAGGGAAGAAGTCGCGCGTCTCAGTTTTATTGTCATGGAGGCAATGTTGGCGCCTCTCGCTGGTTTATGTCTTGGTTCTACTGAAGACAGTAAGTGTTTCTGAGCGCCATCTCAATTTCTTGAGAAACTCTCCACAGTACATATCACAGGTTCACCAAATTCTCGTTAACCAATAATTCCACCAATCAATAACTTTTGGCTTGACCGTATTTTAAGTGCCCCCAACAACTGACACTACAATACAGCCTTTCATAGTTTACTCAGCAAATCAGACTATGATCACTGATTTTTTAGTCCAAAGGGGGGCAATTTGTCCAGAAGGACTATTAATTTCATTTTCGCATTTTACGTTGATTCACTATAAGCGTTGTTTCACTTTTCAAATTGTTGCCATCAAATATTATCGTCCTATATTATATTTAAAGAAATTAAATAATGAAGAATCTGCATAAATGTACGTCTGTTTCTCGCATTGTGATAAAGAAACGGTACCTAGAGCCATCAAATTTTATATAACATAATCCTGCTTCGAATATGAGCATCTGAAAGCCCAAATTTGGAATTGTTTTATTATCAATTTCATATTTTGTAAAACTTTAATGAATTTTTGATTAGCAAACTCATCAATTTCAAAGTGAGCAATGGCAACGTTGTTAAAAAAATATCTTCAGCGCGCGAGACTGTGTATCGGAAATTCTAACGATATGGTGATTTAAAAATTATTTTGCGATATTGTTCTTGAACTGAATTTTATGGTTTAAGTGCGAAGAACATGATATTTAATAAATAAAGGTAACACACAAAACCTTACAAAAAGTCCCTTTGGGCGTAATGTAAAATTTGAAAGCTTTCAGTTTTTTATTTGTTTATTTATTAATTTTTCCTTAAGGGTAGTGTTCAGCTCTGATAGTTCTCAGTATTTTTCATGCAGTATCAGGTTTCTACGAGTTCGTTTTCTGAGTCCGCCACATTTACTTAAAATGAATTTTATTCTTAGTGAAACATATAAAAGGAAACCAAGCGCAATTAAAGTAGTTTTGAAAACTATAAATTATTTATAAGTCTGTCGTGGCAGCAGCAGAAATTGAACAGTTCAGTTGTCGAATGCACGTGAATAAGCTAGAGAAGAAGATGGCTCGTTACCAACAATTTAATGATAAAAATAAATGGACATAGACAAAGGTTATGACTTTGAACACTGCCTCAAAATTTCTAGTCATGTCTTTATAGAATAGATTCCACAGTACAGCCAATGATTTAATTGTTCCTGTTAATTTTACCAGCTTTCTCATGTAATATATCAAAGGCAGAGTTCTTTGATAGGAAGAAAAGGGAAGACAGATTTTGAAACATAGCACAAACTATTTAATTCATTGAAGATTCAAAAGCAGTTATAAGCAAATTTCTCAGTTCTATTCCTTGCACGCAGATTTCGGTCACTCATTAGCTGAACACAATGTGGTGTCGGAAGCATCTCGTAGAAAGGAAGAGCTCTATTATTAATTCTCTCAAGCACTAAAGGTAAAAGTTGGATGGATTCGAAGCATGTTAGAATGGATTTGAACGAAACGAAATTAATGCCATAAGGTGCTTATTTTCTAATACATTCATCAAAGCAGTTTATAGAAGTACTTTTCCATTATGTCCGAGACAATAGCGTAGTTAATCTGTATCGGAAAAATGAAGAAATCCGACTAAGTGTAAGAATAAAATGTGGCCAGCTTTTAATGCATCATCCTCAGCAACTCATCGATGAAGGCTGGATGATAATAAAAGAATTTTGACCATAGTAATCTAAGTTAAGAGAATTATTTATCTATTTCATCAGTCAACAGCTGGATATGAAAATGATCCTGTGAAAATGTGGAATTGTTACAGAGAGAAGTACACAAAACGTTGTAGATGGGTAGAATCACAGACTATACAATATACACCGCAAAGATGACATCCGTCTTAGTTCTTGCCGTAAGGAATTGAACGTCATTTCTGCGGAAATCAATTACATTGGCATACAAGGCCTGTTATTCAGTACATATTATTTTCTTTTGTTACAATATATTTTGAATAGCACAGTATTACATATGAACATTCCTATAACATTAATCAATACTATATATAAGTGAATTATATGTATGTAACACCATATATGCATTTGCAGTGCATTAAATGAACTACATTTAGTGTATAAATATTCAAATGTAATACATTAGTAATGACAATCAACGTCGAAGAATATTTTTACACTAATATATATATAGAGATATGCAGCATTGTTATTGGTATTTCATGTGTTAGTTGCATATTTACTAATTGGAATTAACTTATATTACGAAAGTTAGATAACTGTATGAACATGTATTACACCGGATAGTAAATATTTTTATATGTCAAGAAGTTGATTCGATGGAACAAAGATTTTTATAACAAAAGAGTTAAATAACTACATATATGTAAAAAAAGATAAATATACATATATATATAAATTAAATACTTATATTGCAGGAGCTGAAACAGTAATTTAGCTATTTGGGGAATGACTGTGATGAGAGATGTTCCAGGTTACTTCGTTTTTGCAGCGCAGTGGGTAGTGATAGCATGTAGTTTCGATAGAGCAACATTGTTAATTTGAATATTATTCCACCACGCTGCCCTAAACGTGGGTGCTGGTTTTTTCTAGATGGAACATTCAAAGTAATAGTGGTCTGTACTGCCCACTTTCCCACAGTCGCAGAATCACAGACTGAACAATGTATTCAAACATTTCATCCATTACTCAAACAGTTCATCAAAAGACTAAGAATTAGAGCTAGAAATCCTTCATAGTTAACCTGTGCAGGTGCGAATTGTGTCCGAAAACTTTAATTAAATTTTGTCTCAGATCGTGATCTTCATAAAAGACACGAAGATAATGAACAGATGAATGCCACTCGCAGATATTCAGTAGATGTTTCGGCGGGACAACGAAAATTGCCAGAACTGTGGGCCAAGCAGTATGGAGGATACAGTTAAATCCAATCAAAAGTTGCAACAGCAAGCAAAAGTAAAACTGGTGTCACTTCTACAAGCTACTTTCAAGAGAGTGTGGAAAGAAACTATGTGTATACTGTTATTTCAAAATCACATAAGTTAATACTAGCAGTCGCGGTCTTTCTGTTATTTAAGATAAGGCGATACAGTATGAGGTATCTTGTATATACTACTTACCTGAGATCTAATCCCTCATCTTTCCACAGTTTGTCCATGATACGAATCATCTGGAGAGTCAACATGTCTTGACGAAGATCTGAATTAAAATACCAAAGAAATGAATCAAGATCTGAAAGTAGATTGATAGCAATGAAACTGATAATTTTATCCACACGAAAATAATATGGAAATATTTAAACTAGTAAAATAAAGTAATATTTGGCATTACCATTGAAAAGCTTCAAATATTTGGGATATTGAGAATAGCGAAATTTTTCATGTTCAGTTTACTCCATCAGTTTTCTTGCTGCTGACTTTAAATAAGATTTAAATTAGGCAAAATACATCCTTACCTGAATTTGGAAGGTTGCTCTATATACTTGCTAAGATTTCAGATAAAATTCAAGCTCATTAACAAAATCGCTAGTATAACGAGTTTTCAGGTACTATGGCCATGTATAATCTCGTATTGTGAAGCTAGTAAAACCTGAACGATAAGTCGTTTTTGGTAAACAAAATTTGCATTGCATTTAGAACTGTCAGCATCAGTGTTCCTATCTAGTTTTCATTATTTCCTTAATATTCGAATATTTAATATGCGTGTTCTCAGAGTCCCTTTAATTCAGCGAAAATGTTAACGAATGATGCCTCACTAAAGACCTGTCAAGAAATAAATGAGTCTCAGGACAGCTAGGATCTCACAGATAATCACTGCCATAAAACACTGATCAGTTACTATTCCTAATTAATGTAAAATTGCGAAGTAAGAAATTATCAGTCGTATACAGTTAGTCACAAAAGTCTGCGTACAGACTAAATTTTAAATTAAAAAAACACTTAAAGCATAGAAAAATGTATTTTAATCATTGAATTTTTTTTCTTCTATTAGCTAAAATTGTAAGCTTAAATAAAAAGTAAATAATATCATGTAATACATTTTACATTTTTTCAAAATGTATTTTGTCAAAAAACTCAGAAATTCCCTCCAATAAGTCTGCGTACACTTTAAAAAATAAAACAAAATATAAGTTTTTTACATTACTTCAATACTTTGTAGGATCTTTATTCTTCAAAACAGCTTGCAGACGTCGGGGCATGGACTGAATAGTTTTTTCCGTGTCATCCGATGTAAATTCGCCCATCTTCCTGCAATTTACTAATTAGCTTATTTCGCGACGTAATATTGTGTTTTCGAATTTGTTTTTCTCCATTTTCCCACAATTTTCGATTGGTTGAGGTCTGGTGACTGTGGAGGGTACGCAAACTGTCTTGGAGTGTGATAGAGGAGATATCCTTCACATTTTAGCTGTATGTTTCGGGTCTTACCTTGTTGGAAAATAAAGGTATTAGAAAGGTTTAATTTCGAGCACTGTCGCGTAATTTTTCTTCTTCAAATATCCAGATAACATACTATCCATGACTTCATCAATATGTGAAAATTTCCTACTCCTTTCGACGACCATACACCACCATACTACCACCCGCCAACTCCATGTTGACAGTTGGATTTAAATTTCTAGATTCAGTTCTGGTTTCCTGTTTTCTTCCCATACAATAGGTGGCCATCAACTTTAATATTGTAAATTTAATTTCCATCTGACCAATTACATTGTTCCAGAAGTCCTGCGAAGAGTTTAAATGTTTTTGGCAAAAGCAATTCTTTCTTTCTTTTGTCTCGGAAATGTATGGCATATACTAGGTTGCGTCCATGATAATCGGACTTTCGCAGCACTTTTCGACAGTTTCAGGAGAAATTCTTGTGCTATGTTGCTAGTTAAAAAATGTCTTTTGCAATGCTTGCAGCAAAAGTTTAGGATTTTGTTTAATCCGTAAAAAGAATTTTTCTTTCTTCTCTCGGCCTTAGCTTCTTCGGTCTTCCACATTTTGGTTTTACAGCAAGCCTACCAGTGTCAAGATAGTTTGAATAACTCTTGCACACTAGAAAATGGTTTTCCATGGTTTTACCAATATAACGAAGAGTTTTACCTTCATCTCTCATTTGATAATTATTGTCTCGTAACTAAAGGATTTCTTTATTGTTGTCATTTCGTCAAAGAAAATAGAAATAGCAATTTCCAATCAACGTGAATTTGCTTCGGAGGTCAATGACCTTGAAAGTGTAACCTTTTTGCTCTCAATTTGAAGTTTAAAAGTTAGATAAGAAATCCCCCGCTCCTTCGCGTTGTACGCAACTTTATTGGCTTTGATTTCTGGCCACTTCTTTTAAAATTAGTGTGCATAAATTATTAATATGAAAATATTACAGTTAATAATTTCAAAGTCCCTTATTGAAACTAAATATTTAAGAAATAAAACTTTAATAAACTACCCTTTTCGCGCCTTAAAATTTGGATTTTATATTACTTTTCTTGATGTATGCAGACTTTATTGACTAACTGTATGTACATCGTACCTACACAATTTTAGTACTTTGAAGAAACTTTTTCGAGAAACAACTTTTTCCCAGTGCAAATTGAATGGGAAGTTTCTAGGTTTAACAGTTGCGTTTTGTGATTTGTTTTGCGTATACAGCATATATCACGATTCTGAGAAGGAAATAGTACTGGCAGATCTGTTTCACATTGGAAAAAAAGATTATGCTTCTTTACAATATATTTCTATGTATTCTGCCTTGTATTTCTTAAGGAAAGTGTTTCTCACAAAAATTTCAATCTTCAGTTTTTGTAAGGCTGCAGAAAGCATTCACACTCATACTTGGCTCACCAGAGGCAGAGCGATGAAGTCACTGAACACGGGTACTTCGACTTGGGTTCATTTCTAGGTGAACAGGTGTGCTACAAGGGCATTTTCGTTAGTTTTCTAGTGTGTAACATGGATAAGAGCGAGTTTTCCTTACAGCAGTATTCCCCAAAATATATTCTACAAAACATCACTAAGTGTACCGTGAAGAATGATGAAACTGAGGTTAAAGAACAACGAAATTGTCTGCTTTTGTGCATTTAATACATTTTAAAACAAATCTTAATATAAACAGAAAACATAAACTAAAATGGTTTACTAACTAAAGTGTAATATTTTTATAATTAAAATCAGTTTTAGAAACTAAAAATTTTTCCACGATGAGAAGAGTTTGAGAAAAGCTACCTTAAAGTGGCCTGCACAAAGGCATCCCTTCCCTTAGGCAAGAAACCCTCGAAAGCACTGCCGTAAACAAACCAACAAATCTCATTCACTGCCTGATTCCTCCCTAAAACTCATTTTTTAGAAATATTTTTAAGTTTCTGGTTACGGTTTTCTAAATTTTTCCAGTGTTATAGCTCATTCGCGTATCTGTGAATTTTCTTTGCGTTTGGATAGGTCGTCTTAAAGCTCGATGAATCCGATGCCAAGGATATGGCTGGAGATCTTTGAGGTAATACTTCCACCTAGGGAACAGAACTTAGTCTTCAGGCTCCAAATCTGGTGAATAAGAATGTGGTTGAGAAATTGCGACATTTTTCTTTGCTAGAAACTTCTTGACTAAAACGAAATTATGAAACAAAATATTGTCCGCAACAGAAACTAATCATTGAATTGAATTTTTTCTGGCTTAACGCACTTAATTCTCTTCCGAATTATATCTTTTTCAAAAACGGATTACGAACTGTTCCTCAGGGACTATTTCCTTGTGAAATGCCCTTTTCCAATTAAATTATATCATCAACATTCTTTATTGGAGATTTTTGAAACCAAAGTCCCTACCGGTATAGTGAGCCTTCTGAAACCCGAGTAGATGATTACGTTTTGTTTCAGGATCTTAAGCAAAGACTAATTTTCATCTCTAGTGTCAATTTATTTGAAACTGTAAGCGTTAGTTTCCGCTTTACAGCAAAGCTTAGTAGCGTACTGTCCTACTCCCTAGCATTTTCGCACACGTTTTTGAAAATTTCTTTTAAGTATTCACGTAATTTTCGCCTTCCTCAAGACGTTCAAGAAAGAGGGCTATTCTAAATTTTAAACTGAATAAGTTTACGCAGGGATTACATGTGCTTTGCTAATTGATTTGAACTTGGATTTTGAGTGCATGGGATAAGACAGACTCAGCGGTGACGTCGGTGACGACGGTGGCAGACGACACAGATAAAACTTCTAGTAGCATTATATATACTGTGGACAATGCTGATGGAACGAGACGGCTTCCGTCCTAATGCGACCTTAATGGCGCCTATCGGAATTAGTGTCGCCCCGCCCTTGAATCAATCCACAATGTTGCGATCTCACAGAGCAAGGTCAGATATGGCAGTACCAGTACGGTCCCTGCCGAGCTTTACTCTGTCCCGAGAGCCCTCAGGCCTTCTGTAAAGTCTGTTATTATGTCCCCGTGGTTGAAACTGCCTCTCCTGAGTACACCCCCGGGGGATATTTGTTGTGGACAACAGAAAGGCAAGCGAGATTCAAGATATATGGATGAGTAAATGAAGATAACTTATTAGAGAGTGTAATATTAATATTACTGTGTGTTCTTATTCGAATGTAGCTTTCTTTTAAATAAATAACATTATAATAGTTATCTGAAATTTATTCGTGATTACTTTTCATTTTTTTGTTTTTATCGTAACCACGTCCTTTGGAAGTTAAATTATTCACACAATTTACCTCTCTCGATTTTCTTACGGTAAATTTAACAAAAAAGGGGGGAGGAATGTGCGAGTAAATACTGTAGTCTTCAGTCAACTTTCGAATGCATGACAACAAATATTCACTGAATCAAAGCAAGCAAGTAACTGCATAGAAAAGTCTATCCGTAAGCAGACGAAATTTAGAAAAATGTTGAGATGTCGTTGCAGTAAGTGCTGCCAATTATCTTTTAGCAGGTTTGCTAGACCTTGTTAAAAATAAATGGAAATTTGTGGATACTCTGTGTATGTATGTCAAACAACAATCAGCGATCATACAGTAAGAAACAATCAAAGAATTAATGGAGAATACTTAAAGACAGCTTTTCTACAGATTTTAAACTTTAGATCTAGAGAGATACAATTCTATTATAATGATGTTTTAACTAAAAAATATATCATATTTAGCATAATGAAAGAATATTTAAAAACCTAATTGCTCAGTTAAAATATAAAGTAATAATAATATAAATTAAATTGATTAAACTTATTTTCAGTTGATCTATATTTATGATTGAAAATGGGATTTTTACCGTCTCCATTCTTGAAGATGAGAAAGAGATCCTTCCCGCATGTGTCTGTGTTCTCGAAGGCTAGCCACAAAGGTTTCAGTTTTGAGTCCAAAAATTTACACTTCTCTACTCTAGCAGAAAGGAAAATAAGTCAGTATATTGTGTCGAATCTCAACTAATTTTAGCGCATAACAAGTTAAATAGGTTAACTCCGTTCCTTTATAATAAGATTAGTTGTAAAATATAGGAAATTCTTAAGACTAATCAGTTTCTAAGCTAAAACGTTTCTTTTCCGCTAGAACCGCACCTCTTGAACATTTCTGTTTGTTTTAGCGTTATTTAGTCGGCAGGAAACGTCTCCATTTTTCTTGGCTATAACTAACAGATTTTAATAATCACTGCTCGCGCAATCGCATTTTTTGAGTAATCGCTTTTTTGGTTATTTCCTCCTCGCGAAGTATCGCAAGTTTAATTTGGCGTTTTTCTTGGCGATAACTGACTTGATAACAATTGCTGACTCACCCACCTTTTTTTATTTATTTAATCATGCAATGAATTTTACTTCTTGAGATTTGTAATAGTTCTTCTAAAGTCATTCTTATTTCCTTGATCCAGGCACTAGGTGAGGTAAAGCAAAATGGCACGATAAACGCCAAAGAGGTCCTGTGTCTGCAATTAAACTCTTATTTAATTGAATTTAGGCGGTGTCTCGTGCATTCCAAAGGCAAAATGTTCTCTGCAATGCCAAATGCCATTTTTAACTTTATTCCTGCTGTTTAGTCTTACATGATTCTCTTTTTAGTTGAGCGTTTATTAATTACTAGTGTATTTGGTTTAGTTTCAGATTTTCGGTTTGGGACTTTACTTACTCATTTAAGAAGCAATATATATATATATATATATATATATATATATATATATAAAACCATATTTCCCCCTTAAACTCCCTTCCTCCCACGTGTTTCCCTTTACTATTAATTTCTTTGAAAGAGTTTTAGTGACGAAACGAATAGATGTTTAACAGAAAATTACTGAAAAGGAGAAAACCTTCAAAAAATAAAACGAAATATTTAGAGCGGGGAGAACGTTTAGCATCGAGACAAAAACAAGCCAAAGGAAATAATTGAAAATGCTCCAATATGGTCAATATGGCTTTAAGGGAAAAGTACCACTAAAGGTACGCAAAATCTAAACACACAAAGCTATTGTGTACCGCTAAAGGTACACAGAAGAACTTCGGAATTTCTTCCATAGCCACATACACACGAGCGAAACAAATAAAATACAGACACTCAGTACGACCTTCAATTTACAGCCTATTCACATATGTGAAAATTTGAGTCTAGCAATGTTTTCTGATGCTTATTTTTTTTTGAAGGACGGTTGAAAGTTTAGAGTTCGCTGATTAGAATATGTAGTTGACATCATTCTGATCCGACAATAGGATTATTATTGAACTTTCATATTCTGAAGATTAGCCTCACGCGCGGCTAGCCGCATAAAATAAGTACTACAAACATGAAAAATATAAAGTGATTTTAAAAAGCCCAGCTAGTGTAATTTCATTGATCCAGCTGTTAATTAATAACACTGTCTCGCAGATATAGTGGTTAGTGAAGCTGACTGCCATACCGATGGGCCAGAGTTCGAATTCCGGAGCGTTTATAAGCATATAATGACTGTGCGACAAAAGAGCACTCAAAATACAAGGCGAAAAAATTTTCTATAGAGAGGCCGATGGTAGGAGAAGTGTGAGGGAAGACTCCCCCCCGCCCACGTACTTTTCTCAAAATTGGGTCGGAGCTGAACGGTTACCTAGGTTCAACAACATCTCAATCTTCCGTGGTACTACAAAAGTGCTGCCGTAGCTTCTACCTGTGCCCGTTAACTAATAATTAATTATTAATGTTGCCAGCCGGTATAATACTCAGTGATGCTTGACTGCTTTCCGATGGATTCGGGGTCGAATCTCGGAGAAGGTATGTTGTGTTTATGAGTGCATAACGTTTGTGCGAACATGGGAGGCACGCAATATGCATGCCGAACCAAAAGTACTATAGAGTGATTGGAGGTAAGGGAAGAAGGCAGATCCTCAGACCGTCCCCTGCTGTGTTCTGTACGAAATTTGGTGCGAAATTTAGTTAGCAAGGCCTGGCGATACTAAAGGTACCTTCGGGAATACTCAGATGCGGCCTTGCTTCAACCCACACTTGTTAATTAACAGTAATGAAGAAGAAGAACTTATTTTAAATCGGTTAGCTTGTTAATCAATAATGATGTTCATACAGACGCTGATACAAACAGGCGTTCATACAAACATACTGATTGTGCATTATTTAATACGAGAGATAAAGTGATTTTGTGTCTACATTTCCTCATGGGTCGAAACCATTGCAGTTAATTCCAAATACTTCCCTCCGAGCGTTACAGGTTTAGCCCTGAAATTTCAAAGTTCCTCAAAATGTCATGAATAAGTGGCATTTTCTTGATTTTAATTAAGAAATGACCCTCTCATTTTGTACCTTGATTCCTTTTCTTCCAATATACATCCAAACCGAAATCAGATACATTAAAAACTAGCAGAGATTCTCATGTATAATGAATATAGAAGGCAGCCTTCCATGCGGAATTTTCCGGCCGTAACGCTGAGAGAGTTAATATTGCTTTATATTTATATTACGATTGAAAACTCTTCCATGATTATACAGCTCTGTATCTCATTTTTCGAAACTGATTCTAAATTTTCTCAATTCTAAAGATGCACAAGTAGAAATTCTGTACGTTTTTGCAATATTTTCCAGAAATTCGTTTAAATAGTATAATAGTATGTCTGATCTCGAATCGCATAAACAACTATAAAGTCCGTTAAAGATAAAGATATTTTGATAAATATGGCTACCATAGAATTAAATATATGCAATAAGCGTTAAGTCTGCAAAGACAAAATTAATTACTGTTTAAAAAACAAACTCAGATGAGTACCGTACATACATATGTATACACCATATATACAGTGGTGGCCAAAATTGTGGTCACTTTTCGAAATTTTTATGTTTTTGAACTTTGTATGCTTATAGAAAACGTTACGTTTCACAAAATGCAAATTTGTATATATCATTTTAAAGAGAATTTATTACTGAATTCAATACAAAACACAAAATTCAATTATTTACAATACAAAAAAAGTTAAAAGATTTAGTTATCGATATTAGACAGTTATCATTAGATAGTTATCGATATACATTAGATAGTGATGATTGCAGTGAGTTATCAGTACTTAGTAGGATACCCCTTTATTTTGATTACAAGCTTCACATCGACGTTTTCATTCATTGATCTGACAAGAGTTTTAAAGCTCTTCTTCTTTTCGTTATTACATGATGGCCAGGAAACAATTATAGCCTCAATTACCTCCCTTTTATTTGATGGGCGCCTCATTCGGACAAGAGTTTTCAAACGGTGCCACAAATTTTCGATAGGATTGAGGTCAGACTATTTCCTGGCCATGACACAATTTAATGCTCTTTGTACGAAACCACTCTTTCGATATTTTGGCCGTGTGGCAAGGAGCAGAATCCTGCTGAAAAATAAACGAAGCATTGTTGGGAAAGAGATCTCTGATGGAAGGTAGAAGTTTTGGTTCTAGAATAGTGTCAATGTATTTTCTGGCATTCAGTGTCGTGTCCTATCGATGACATGAAGGCGAACAATACCATCTGCTGACGTGCATGACCAAATCATAACACTAACTGGGTTCTTCACAGTTGCTTGAATGCAGTCAGGATGTAGCTCTTCTCCTATTCTACGTCTTCCATATTTTCGCCCATCACTACAGAATAACGATATCTTAGTTTCATCACTCCATATCACTTGTGACCACTGATCATCTGTTCAATTAATGTGTTCCTTTGCCCACTGTAGTATTTTTTTTTCGTTGCTGAAAATTAAGATACGGCTTTTTTTGTGGAATTCCACCTCTCAGTCCAACATCTGTTAATCTTCTCCTGATTGTTCTTGAACTGACAGAAACACCAGCATCATTCAGATCACTTCTCATGGCCGCTGATGATGTTTTTCTATCTTGGAGACTTAGTCTTTTTATTCTTCTGTCATCAATAGATGTGGTGCACCTTTTTCCGCCTTTTTCTTCTTTGTTTTTTATTGAATTTGTCTCCTGATGTCGTAAACAAAACTTCGGACTCCAGATGTAGTCACTGAAACCACCTGTTGCAATTTCAGCATAGGAAAGACACTCTTCTACCACAATATTACTCTCTTTCTAGGTGTCCAATCTACTCTTTTATTTGATGTCATTGCTCTTGACTAAATATTAAAATTTTTTACCAAAATTCCTACTTGGAATTGCAGTGTATAAGAAACAGGTCCTCCTTCTACAGAACAAAGCAAATAATGATGTTTCAAGTGTAAACATGATGTCAGCTTCTACTGGCAGTTACTAAACATTTGATTGGTTCTCAGAACAAGACAGTGATTGGCCAGGAAAGCTAGACATTACAAACCACTTCATAACTGTTTTTATTTATATTAAAGTACTACAACTTGTTTTGTATGCAAATAATTGAATTTGGTTTGTATTGATTCATATAAATTCTCTTTAAAATGATAATAAATCTGCATTTTTGCGAAGCGTAACATCTTCTATAAGCATACAAAGTTCAAAAACATAAAAATTTCCAAAAGTGTTCACAATTATGGCCACCACTGTATATGTAGCTTTTAGGCTTCGTCGTAAAGAAAAGGGGTGAGCGTCATACGGCGAAGATACCTAAAAATTAAAACGTGTAATTTGAAATTATAGGTGCGCCTCATACACTTTGGGAGTTATATTCCGGAATGTACGGTGCTTAATGTCTCTAAGTGTATAGTTTCCTACAGACACTACGTAGAAGTTTATAAACCATTACGTAAACCAGCAACCTTTCCTGGCTGAGGGTCAAAATCAACCAAAATGAGTGTATTAAGAATACGTTTCGGGTCAATAGCATTTTCAATTTAAGATAAATTTTATTGAGAAAATAATTAAAACACGCTTTAAACATAAATTTGAAATTATAATTCTAATTATTAGAAAAATAAACATTTAAAATTGAATGAACTTTATTTTTGTCTTTTATGCCATTGCTTTCCCTGATGCTGAACTTGTGACGTCAATTTAGTGAAGTCTGGCTTAGTTAGTCTCTTAAGACAAGTTCAAGCATCTGAATCTTCAGTAGTTAAGTTGCTTTTGTTCTTACTTAAAATAAATAAATTTCATGTGTGAAAATATTTGCTCACATTTATAAACTGAACCGAATGCGGTCAAAATAGCAAAGCCGATTTTTTTTCGAATTATAGATTATGGGTCGGTATTTTTAAACTTATCGATTTCTCCTTGAAATTATATTATAATTTTTATTTAAAAAAATTCAGTTTCTTACTGAAATTTCTTTCAATCAAACTTATAGTTGTTTATTTTCGTTTATTTCTTTCGATTCATTCGTAAGTTCTTTTCGTGTTTATCTTTTATAATTATTATTATATTATTTACGTTATTTTGGAACTCAAGTAGGGTCACTTGAAATTATGAAATGGATCACTTGGTGACCCGTGGGTTAGATTACCGAGGCCTGAAGCAGACAATTGTTACATTGACTTATTAAAAATACAGATACTTATAATATAAATAATACAGATAAAATCTTTAATATAAAATGGAAAATTGAGTTTGAAATATTATCACCTTATTCTGCCAAATTTCAATCTGGGATCAAGAGGATTTTGTAAGCCTTTAATCAATGTTTCATGAATTGTGCGCTCTAGTAAGTCCTGTATTAAAACTTTCAGTTTCTCTTTACCTTCCTAAAATGAAATTAAAATGAAAGTGGCATAAAATATTACGCAAGCGAATAATATGAATGAAAATATTATTACAATAAATAAGTCAAGATGGATTGAGACAGTTGGTATATATTCTTTTTTGAGATGCCTTTTTCTTCATTACATTGCCTGAATCAGGGGTGGCATAAAGATAGTCGAACTTATTATTTAAATCAGGGGGTGTCTTAAAATATTTTTGAGAGTCGACCCTTTCAGGAATTTCTCAATATTTTGTCCACCACTTTAAGTACATAATTAATGGTAAATTTGTGGAAAAGACTAATGATTTTTAGATTGTTGCTTATTTTACAATGTTTACCATATTTTAGATTATATATATCCCAACATAATTATGTAATTAATTTACATTAATTCAACATACGTCAAAAATGAAGAACGAAGTAAATTCTCTGAACTGTATTCTATGTAAAACATTCTGACTTTAAAAAAATTATAGTTGTTTATTTTCGGTTTATTTCTTTCGATTCATTCTTTAAGTATCTTTTCGTGTTTATCTTTTATAATTTATTATTATATATTATACGTTATTTTCGGAACTCAAGTAGGTCACTTGAAATTATGAAATGGATCACTTGGTGACCCGTGGGTTATAGATTACCGAGGCCTGAAGCAGACAATTGTTACATTGACTTATTAAAAATACAGATACTTATATATATAGATATATATGTTTTAAGAATGAAAGTTTCTCACTTTGTTTTGAAATAAGCTTCTCATTTTGAAGCAGCACGTTTAAAAGGTATTATATGATGCTTTGAATAAGCTGCTTTAAAGTGAGATATTTTTTAGTTGAAAGCTGTTTTCATTCTGATTACATGTTATATTGATATTATATTACACTCTGATTATATACTATATTGATATTTTTATAAGAAAAGGAACCAGAACTTTGTATGTCTACATTCGAAAACGTGCTGTGTTTTGCTATTATTTGTTTAATCACGATAATAATTCAAAATTTGGCAATGTTTAAAATCTATTTTTAGCTTGAGGCACAAACTACACCCTTTACCGTTAACACTATACTCCTTGTTTAGTCCACAGAATGTGATACGCCGGAAGTGGGGCTAAGTTTGTTCGTTATCATAGATAGCATGTCATGTTTTGTAGCTTCGAAAGTGCATTATGTCTCGAAAATTGCATCCTTTTACCGATATAACAAACCAGGTTTGATTCTATATATATTAATGAACTCGGAGAATAAGGTAAGCTGGGAATTTTTTATACCTAAACAGGGATTAACAGTGCAACGAAATTAGATGCATAACAGTCTATTGGCTGGTTACAGAACTCATACGGACAACAGAGCAATGGCGTAGCTCGATGGGGATCATGGAGGTAGCAGGTTTATTCTTACCTCCATGAAGAGGACAGAGGGGATGATCCGCCAGGGTGGCACATTCTTTGGGAGTCACTTTTCGCATGAAGCTTTTATTTGTAATAGTTATTTATGCGTGTCGTTGAAGCAGCCAAAAAATAAGGACATCCAGAACTGCCATATGGAATTATATTGAGAGGCGAAGTGGCTTTCACACTGCATTAAGTATTCAGAGAAATCATTACGTGATTTCGACAGCTATATGCTCTTATTAAATCCTTTTTATTTCCTTGTATAAAGTAAAGGAATTTTGAAATCCTCTGGGAGTAAACTGAAGTACACTTGAGCACAGATACCAGTTACAACCTTCTGAAATTTTAACACTTACCTCTTATGACTACCTACTGCCAGAAGGTAAAATGTTTGGAAAATATATATTTGTCATAATAACACAATTTCTCTTCTATGAACGTTTACTCAGTATTTCTCGTTGTCATGTGATCCTTCAGAAATATGGTGCTGCAAGAATAGTTATCATATTAATCATAATCACTTTGTTAGAGCCTGTGGTCCTAAAGTCTACCTTAATCTAAATAGCTATGCTACTTACTGCGATTTTTTCTATGACCAGGATTTCTATGTTATCATAAAAAATAATCTTTACTATGCACACATTGCAAAAATAAGTACGTAGTTATGCAAATATTTCTGGAATGCTCTCTCGCAATACGGGTAATTGCAGATTTGTATTATTTGGACATTAGTATTGTTGATCCTAGTATAATTTATTTATGTTTTAAGAATAAGTAAATTCGGAATGCCACTTTGCTCAAGCAAAATATTATTAAATAATAAAGATGATAATCCTTACTTTTCTCAAATTGATTTCGTTCTGTATGAGATTGTTGGCCATTTTGAACTTACGAAGGGCCTGAACCTGTTTCTCTAAAGCTTCTAAGTGCACAGGAACACTACGGCAATACACTTCTAAAATGAGTGCAAACCTTATAGTTACCTCAGGGAAATCTATATCTGATCTGAAAAGAAATATTCTTTTAATTATTATTCGAAGCAGGTTAGTTTATATATCCCAAATATTTTCCCCCTTTATAATTAAATTTTAGAGTTTTGCTTCATAGTAATATGAGTTGACATGATAAATGCTGTAAATTTTCACTTTTAAAATATTGTATTAATTTTATAAAAAAAAGTACTGTGAAAGTGATTTTTATAAAAAAATATAATATCAGGTATTCCTTTATGTAGTATTATTTTTCAGGCAGGATTTATTAAAAATCTGTTCTGACACATTTCAAGAAGAGATTTTCATAGATGTTTAAATAATTAATAATAATTTTAAATACCGCTGATTTGATAAATTTAAATACCGCTGAGTAAACACAGCTCCACTCGGGTAAATTATGTACCGAAAGCAGTTACTTAATTTGTCATTCAGTAGCTTCTCATGAAAGTGGTAATCAAATCAGACACCCATGCTTTACAGCTATATAAAAGGCAGTGATGCATGCAGCAAATGCTACCAAAAATATGTACGAAATACCTGGTAAAAGTATTTTGAATAGTTCCTAATGCCAACGAGGGTTTTATAAGTGCTGTAGTTGCCCTGCCGGTTTTGATAATCATGTTTCCAAAGCTGCGATGGAAAGAAATCTATGTGTACTTTCTTGATGAGCTGGCAGAAGAGGTTAATTCATCATATGATCAATATATCGTTATGTAAAATAACTTTGGGTTTTATTTTCTTCCTCCTTTTCGCTTGCCTTTGTGGTGCAATTGGAAGTACGCTCGATGCAAATTCATTCGGGAGGTCCGGAGTTCGAATCCCGCCGAGGACATCGCACATTTTTCACATTCTTGCGTCAGTGTAACCTAATTACTTTGTAAACTTATCAGATGCGGTTCACGTGAACTTACTGAACTCTAATGGAAGATAAAGTGTGACATTTGCACTGCTGTTAATTCACATGAATAAATGTCGTTTCACTGAACTAGCCAAGATCTGGTGGTTCTAAGCATTCAAAATTTCATTGGCGGAAAAGAATTCCCTCGAGACATTCAAAAGTGTCTTTCTCTTACAAGCTGGCTGATTCCTTTAGGTGTGGCAACAGTGTGATCGAAAATCTATGGGAGCGTTGGCAGCTCTTATTAATTCAAATGGGATTATATAGTTAATTAAATATGTACTCAAAGGGTAAACAAAATTAAACGCGTAAAAACAAATTATCAACAATCTCAACTAAAGTTATACTTCATTGCATCATGCAAGTAGTACAATCAAGTCTCGATTAATTGGCGGAAGTTTAACAGAGTTGAGGATTAATCGGGTTTTCTCTAAAAGAATTCCTTGCGGAACACTAAAAATTTAACTATCACTAAATATCAAAATAAGGTAATATTTCTACGGGAAATTCAACAAGTAGAATCAATTATGTGGGAAATGGCAGCAGAGATAGCAGGTGATGTCACAATATTTAGGAATTGTTTTATTCGTAATAATAAGTGACTTAATCGATTTTAATGTATCAAATATCAATATTATTGAATCTTCCGTTAAAAAATTCGCTCAGTCGTAAAATTAAGTTAAGGGTACATCCAGTAACCTGTTTTTTACTGACTCCTATCGAAATACAATAATATAAATAAAAAAGGTCTTCTATTTGTTTTTTAAGTTCGTTCTTGTTTTGAATGCAGGTGTCATTTATATAACCAAAATAAAATTTATTCTCCAGTTTATATTGCTTAAAATTTAGAGGTAAATAGTATTTTTCTATTAATTATAATATGGGTAACTCAACTCCATTAGTTTTCTTAACCGTGATTTTTGGTTAAATCATGGATGTCGTCCCCGATATTACACCGTTAAATCGGGTGTCGACTATATTTCCTGCCTGAAAAATCTATATTAAGAACAAATAACATGTTCCTTACTTCAATAACCAAAACAATCGATGTCCCATGTGTCTATTCTTCAGAGACCTCTCCAGCAAAAACTTCACGAGATCATTTTGAAGATATGATTCGTGCTTCAAAGCTTGCACCAACTGAAGCATGTACATCGTCAATTCCTCGTCGCTGATCACTTGCAGACATCTAACTGCAAAACTACGAACTTTGGGATCAGGATATGCATAATCGAGCAGCTCCAAGGCCTTATGAGGTGATAAAAGTGGCCAATCCTGAAGAAGCATCATCATCTAGAGAAAATTTAAATATCAGTCAATTCACGGTGAAGAACGGTGAAGAAGATTTGGTACTTGTGTATTAGCCGATAGCCGCCGATACATCGTCAATAATCTGTTGGCGGCTTTTGGCGATGACATATTTTTCAGGCGTTAAAATGGTGTTTTGGTTTTCTGTGAAAATTGTTTAGCAGTCTCATTTAGAATGACATCAGATTGCAATTGCTAAAACAGAAGGTAAGTATATTGTCTAGTTTCACTGCATGAAAATTGGAAGTCTCACGTTTTAGCAGAATACTATAAATCTGATAAAAGTGAACTGCTTCTGTTTCATTTCTCGTAAAATTCAGTAAACACATGATGAAAAATACGATAAATATTAAGTAAACGAAAAACGGTTTACCCTGAGAACTTTTCGCGGCGTAAAGAACTCTCGAAAATGACACAGTTGATTTAAAATTGAGATAACAATAAAAAAATAACCATCCCCACTCTTTCTTAGCCTTCCTAAAAAGGATTAATAAAAATAATGAAAAAATAAAGAGAGAAACTTTTATAATTCTAGAACAAACTGGAACAGCTTTTATGGTTTCCGAACGCACGCATGATATTAACTGTTGGTATTTTTGGCGATGCATCGGCGAATGGTAGGTAATACACAAGTACCTATACTTGCCTACACTTGTAACTAATGATTTCGAATGATGGTAATTAGCATTTTATTTGGAACTATTACGTTTGAACAACAGTTCCAGGCAGTGTATTTATAAATATTAATTTCGAGTAATAATATTTAGCATTATATTGGTAATTAATAAGTTCAAAAGACAGTATTCAGCACTAATACCTGTGCTATTTCTCTCCTGTCGTTCCACTTGATGCATCTCAACAATTTTGGGAGGGAGTGATGCAATTGTGTGCGACAGTCAGCACGTAAGAACCACATAAGTTCTTTCTCCTGTTCATGAAGCTGGTATAGAGTATCCTTCTCACAAATCTCACGTAGGCTCTCTAAATAACATTTGCTTACTTGAGGCTGCAGAAAGGAATAATATCCACATCAATCGTAAAGGAGAAATACAGTTTTCACGTGTAAATATTACACAGACATGTTAAGATACAACAAAATACGATGGCTGCATTTTAATAATTGATGACCTCAAAAATTAACATTCTAGATTCCGTGTCGTGCGATATCTAATCTAAAATATTCTGGATAACGCCATGTTTATAGAATTCTCGAAATGCTAAAACACAACGTAATACATAAATTAAACATTTACATTCATAAACGATTAAAATGCAGATAAATTCAACAAAGCGTATTGAGTGCAGTGGTTACGTGGAAATACAAGAAAGATGACACAACAGTATACGTGCATCAGTGATAACCCTCGCTTGTCATTACAGGATTTCTAGATGTCTTGCATCTTCTTCTTCACACTACCTTCAGTTATTTGTCTCTAAATAGCTCTTGATCATATTAAATTTCCATTTCGAATTACGAGAAGCCATAATGTGTAGTTCAACAGCAATGCAATTCAAAAAGGATGATAACTGTCACATGCTTTGTCATATTCCATTAAACCATAGTTTTACAATAAGTTTGGTGCCCACCAGCGGTCGAGAGTTAAAGTCTCTAAACCCTGGTAATTCGACCTGGTGCGATTCCAAACGAACGGGTATCTGTATGGGCAATTACACAATTCTTCCCAAGCGTAATGTGGATACCAGCCAGTTCTCTTTGGAAATCCTCCGCGAAGGCACCCCTTCCCTTAAACAGGTAGCCTCGAGGGCTTTCCCAAAATCAAACCAAATCAAATCTAATAATTTCGAATTCGACGCTTCCTTTTCATAGTTTGTTTTGTTTTGGCTCAACATCATCTTTGATTTGTTCATCTTCATTTACTCTTGTAAAAATTATATATTAAATACTTTTAATGTAATCTGTAAGCATTGAGTAAATAGCGTTTGAGAATTCTAAGCTCTTGCATAATGCTTTTGCAAACATCACATTATTATTGTCTTAATTATATTGCATAAAATGAAATTATAATGGTAATGAGTTAAGGTTTCTCATCATCTTTATAGTAAGAAACCTGACAAAATATGCGTAAATTTCTCGTAAAGTATATGTAGCAGTACACTTGAATCTACTGGATATTGCTGAAAGTACGGATTTGTTTTCGTGGTTTTAGCAATCATGTATTTGTAGTAATAAATTTCCCATAGTACGTGTACAGAAACTGACAAAACATACAGAAATTTTCTCCAATAATACGGGCAGTGACATATTTGCGAGCACTGGATACTACATCAAGTACCGACATTTGCTCACGCTTTTAGCGATGACATAAAGGGGGTGTTTCCATATTTTCACGCCTATTTCGGAGCCGTACAATTAATGTTTAAAATGTAGCCCTTCAGTGTTGAGCAAAACAAAACAAAAAAAAGGGGGGAAAGAACAAAAATATTCTCTTTGCATTGGAAAAGACTATGCATTATTTATAAAATTTTCAGGAAGACATCCCTTCTGACATTTGTGCTTGTGCCATAATTTAAGGATATCTAAATCAGCCAATGGGACAAAATATATATAATCACAAATGTATTTCAAGGAATGTTTCTGTGTAATAAAAGCACTGTGAAGTATGTAGAAGATTAAACCCCTTGACAGGACGAGAAACACATAGATATGAAATTTAATATTAGGGAAAACAGTTAGCTTGGCACAAAATTATTTTCATTGTCGTTACAATAATATTTATTTAAAATATAGAGAGTAAGCAAAATCTTGCAATCTTAGTAAATTATTACACCTATAAAGGTTTTAGCATCAGTTAATGACAAAAACTGAAGATCTCAGCTTCGAAATGGTTATGATTTTAAATAACAGCTTTAAAATACTTCTATTTCTTTAATATAACATACGTATATTTTTAAATATAAATAAATCCGTAAAGGTTTATAAATCTTCTTTAAGACAAAATTATATAAAATATATTCGACAAATGTCAAGTACATTTCGTTATTAGTAACACAATGTATTTCTGAAGGATGTACTAAGATAATTAATTACCGTTACAGATCCAAAAGATGAATTATTGTTGTCGTTCGAATCTTTTACTGCGTATTCCAGAATCTATAAAAAATTTTTTTAAAAAAAGAATGAGAGCTGGTGAAAATAGCTACATAAAAAGTACTGATCAATGAGAATAAAATTATTATTTTGTTTGCCTGTTATCATGTGTGAAATTTTAACCCATATAAATAAAAATATGGTTGAATATCAGTTTACTTTAAAAAAGCGGTAGTAAAATATTTTCAGAAGGATACGAATTTTGATAGTCAAGTCATTGTAATTTCATACAAAAGTAATAAACAAATTGGCAAAACAATTCTGAAATTTTTTGAATAGTACTAAAATAATAAATGATAAATTAATAGAAAAAGCATTTATTCAAATAATAAATTGATCTAGTTAAATGAAAACATGATGAGAGTAACACAGTTGCACGTATGGGTACCAGTTAATCCTTTGAGGCACCTAAAATTTCCTTCTGTATGCACAGAAACAGTGAATGAAAAAGGATTTATAGGTTACTCTGAACCTTCTTTATTTATAGTAGATGGTATTTCAATACAAAGCAGTCCATATATTTTAGCCATGTTTAGTTTTTTAAGATCCTCATTTTTCAAAGAAATATTCCAGATTTTTTTAGGGTATAAAGGAATTATTTGAAAAGAAATTTCTATGTTATTTTTTGGCTGTATGCTAATATCCTTATTTGAAATCTTGCCTAAAATCAAACGGGAACCCTAGGTGTGCCCAGGTCGGGCTCACCGATAATCTAGGACAATTGAGAGTCTGTATTCTTTGTTTCTCCGCATTTCCTCGGTCAGTTCATTGACAACAATGCTCGTTTTAGCACTCTTTTCGAAGCTCTATTCAATCAGTGTGTCCATTTTGGGCACACCCACAGAATTAAAACGATAAGTGCTATCTTCACAAAATTTTACTTGTGTACTCCTCTAGGCCTAATTAGACTGCTTGCCTTTTTTTAAATCAAAACTCCAACTTTAAAAGGTAGCGTGCCGGAAAGGGTTAAAAGTTGTTACCGTAGGTTTACAGGTAGCTTTCGTGTTTTTCCAGTAACCAGTGATTAGTCTTCATGAACAAGAATTGAAAAAGAAGCCAATGAAATGTACAGTTTATGAACTTCAGTCTCTGAGACATCGAATCGAACTTTGAGATTTTCTTTGCGGGTATTAAACAAAGTGGATTCCGAACTATGACTCGGATGCTCTTGTGCAGTGCCTGTAACTCAAACTACACGCGGGTTGCATGAGCAGTCTAAAAAGCAGCTGATGTGCAAGATCTTTTTTTTTTCCCCAAAATGAAAAAATTCTGTTAACAAAATAAAAAATACTTTAAATAAATTTTATATTTTGCTTACTAAATATTTATGAAAAATACATAACAAGAATAATAATATAGCAAAGAAATAAAATCTACTGAAATGTAAAAATAAGTTTTACGCATTCAACTGATCATTGACTAAGTTACTATAATTAAATATAAAAATAAATAAGTTATGTAAACGTTATGTCTGCGGAGAAAATTTTCTAAGTGAGGCAAAATTTGAGAATAAATAATAACAACTTAGTCCCTTTCACCTATATATTAAATTTTACTTCCATGCATAATTACAAATATGTATGTTTGTACTATATAAATAATTATAATTACAACTAATTATTTTTCTTTCTTACGACAGCTTGACGCTTAGTGGCGTTTTGATAATGATAAAGTTTGTAGCCTTGGAAAAATTACTAAAAATTATCTTAACATATTGTCGATAAACGGTCATCGATGAATCGAGCTCTTATTAATTTTCAAAAGTAATTGCTTTTCTCATTAATTTTTAAAAGCAGTTCGCATATAAATGTATTTGCAAACAAAGTGACTATTACTAATGCAAAAGTTCGTAATTGAAATTATTTACTTTCCTGACGAGTACGAATAAAAATTATCAAATCTTTGAATAAGATTTATATAACATTGTGATCTCCATTTCATGAATTTTAATCTTTGCAACAAATATATAATTGAAATGTCTTTACGGGTCTCATGCGTTTCTCGGGTGGCCAGTTTGAAGCCATTGCTCTAGTAGTTTCACAGAAAACGTGTAGCACAAGACCCCCAGCCTTTTATGTTTGATTGCAATGTACAGTCGCTGTAGTGTTTAATAGTACAGCACAATACATCGAGTTACGTAAAGAAAAATTGGAAACCTTTAGGTAATCTTTACGTTTCTAGTATAACACGGAACTTTACGTAACTCGAATCTAATGCAAGCCAAAATTTTTTTTGGTGTTGTTGTAAATTATCTCACTTGTCTGACCTAATCAGAATAAGCCCATGAATTTTATCTTGGCAATGAATGCAAGATTGCATATGTCACTGGCATGGACCTTGAGCGCCGTATTAGGTGAAAATACAACTTTCCCCATCTTCTTCCTAGTATTCATAAAGCGCACCACGGAGAATGTTTCTGAGGATCTGTTAACTCCAGCAAGTTCCGACTGTCAGACCCGGCTAAAGCATATAATTGGTGCCCCCAGACATCTTTTCTGAGTTAAATTATTGTTTGTCATTACACAGTAGACGCTTACCGTACCAAATTCAGTTTTCGAATCATCCATGTACACTGCGCAAAACAAAAGTGACAATTCTACATCTCTCGTTTTACTGGGCCGATTAACAAATTCAACTTTCGCTTTTCATGCCTCGAAAGCACGACTTTATGCACGACTAACACGTATATATGTTAGATTAATATATAGCATTGTTCTAATATAGGTATTTTGACACAAAATCGAATTTTTTCTGAAATGACATGCCAAATTTTTTCCATATTTCGACTGTACGACTCTAATTATGCCAAAGTGCCAAGTTTTGTAAAAATCGTAAGAGTAGTTTTTAAAAAATTAGCTCTCCAAATTTTAGCTTCCCAATGTTAATTGAATTTGATATATCTGTGTTCATATCTCTATTTTTATTAAACTTACTTGATTCGTTCTTTTAGAATTTGAAATTTAGATTCCTTTCAAATAAAACTTGCTCATTTTCTATGATTTACTTTTAAAACCTGTATTTTTAAGTAAGTTTTATATATTTTTTGAAAAAAAAATATATTTATAAACTGTAAAATTTTTACCAGCTTCTTAAAGCAGATGTATTTCTAAGCATACCTGCAAAAAATTAGAGTTTATTTATTCAAAATTTCATAGGATACACGGGAATTTACAGATTGGCTCATTTTGAAATTTGGTATATTTGCTATAAGCCATAATAACGCCAAATGTGGTTTATGCACTTTGGTAAAATTATTGGAAAGTATGAAAGATAACTTTTTTCCTGCTCGTTTACAATGATAAAAGGAAAGGAAAATTTTCTATAAATTAAGAAATTCGCCAAGTCAATTATACTTGGCGCAAACTGAAAAAAAATGCGCCAAGATAAATTTTTAAATTTCTCCGTAAATTTTGCAACAAATTTTACAAAATTTAATATCTAGGCATAATTTGAGTCATAGAATCGAAATTGGAAAAAACAATGGCATGGCATTTCAGAAAAAGTCCAATTTTGTGTCAAAATACGTATATTAGAACAATGCTATATATAAATCTAACATATATCCTAAACCGCGGTTTCGAGACATGAAAAACGCAATTTGAATTTCGTCAATCGGCACAGTAGAACGGGAGATATAAAACTGTCCCCTTATTATTATTGCGCAGTGTACATATACTTAAAAACTTAAGGTTCCTCGGAGGCCAACGTCTTTCTGCTCAAGCACCTCCTTCCTCTGAGTACGGAGCCCACCAGCGGCCGAGCGGTAAAGTCGCTGAACACTGGTAGTTCGGTCCGAGGTTCGAATCCCGCGAACGGGCTGGGTGCATGGGTGTTTTCGTGGTTTTCCCCATGTGTAACGTGTACGTGTATACGAGCCAGTTTCCCTTAGAAAGTCCTTCACGAAGGCATCCCTCCCTTTAGGCAGATAGCCCTAGTGTGCTTTGCCATAATTAAATACACCACACCATACCTCTGAGTACGCCCCTGCGGTTACCACGGGATCTCATCACCTACGTTGTTAACAATATGATGAATCTTCATGCGATCTGAGTATCTGTTACAGATGATAGCATGCCTTATTAAGCATCGTGTTAGTTTTCATGATGAAACTTCAGTTCTGGATGTTAATGCTTTCATGAAAATTAAATTCTCGATAACGAATGGATACTTTCATCGCCCTGGAATAAATTTTGATCTGATATTACTCTGTAATTGTCCATCCCTTTTGAAAAACATGTTTATTTTTTTAATTCAACACAGGTAAGTACAGTGGAATCTCGAGATACGAGTTCTATTCGTTCCAGCATTGAGCTCGTATAGCGAACTTCTCGTATCTAGAAAGAAAACTTCCCCATTGAAATAATAAATCCAGTCAGTCCGTTCCGCATCCCAAAAATATCAACATACAAATCAATTGTTTTAATAAATAACACTGGTAAATAATATAACCGCAGTTTACCTTTATGATGATAGCTTCCGACACAGACCTTTTAACTGCTTCTCGTTAATCCACACCAATAGCAGCTTTTCAACATCTAGGTGTTTTGGACGGTGTCTGGAAGTAGCGGTAACTCCTTTGGCTACATCAAGTTTTTTAATTTCATCCTGCTTCTTCAGAACAGTGCAAATTGTCGATGTCGAAAGGCCGTAAGTCTTCGCCAATTCCGTCATTCTTACATCACGCTTGTTTATCTATGATTTCTTTCTTAATTTCAATGGCCAAGGCTTCCTTATTTTTCTTTACAGCACTACTTGAGGCAACAATCTCCTTAGGAGGCATCGTGAAATAATTATTTTCACGTTAAATATAATAAACAATTGACTCACAAGCACAGAAACACGTAGATCACAGAACACCGAGTGATCTGACGAGGTGATTCCCAGAATCCCGCCAGAACGGGAAATAGCACCACGCATACCAACAGTCTAGCTAATTGTTCGTTATTCGAATCAATGCTCGTATTTAAAGACAAATTTTTCGCTCATAGTTTCCTCGTATCTCGAATTTTTCGTATATAGAAGGGCTCGTATCTCGAGGTTCTTTTCTATATTTTCATGCTAAAATAAATTTATACAGAAACAGGGAGCCTTTTAGTGGCAGCTGCTTCCTTTAGAACAACACATTTAGAAATGAACACTGAATACTGCTCCTCGAAAGTGACTACTTCCACAGGAGACCAAAATCATCTGGAATAATGGGCGGTCATTTTAAGGAGGATTCATTATAATATCGTTACAACGCTTATATGCAAAGTTGTTGTTGCTGCTGCTCATGCTCATTTGTCTGACGTAGTCAGCCCAAAGCCCACGAAATACCTCGTGGCAAGCAGCGCAAGATTACGCCTGTCGTTGGCAACAGCCTTGAGCACCTTACAGGTGACAGAGCGGTTTGGCTCAGTTCCGCCCCCAATTTTGATGGAGAGCACCCCGGGGGGTGTCCAAGGGTCTCCCACCCCTTTTCTCTTCCACCAAACCACACGAGAGGGCTTTTGCTCGCCGCATATTTAAAGTGCCGCTATGCCGCACCGACACTATACATTTACATTATATGCAAAGTAACTTTTGTAAATGTAGATTTGCGCATTAGTTATACCATGAATGGTTTAAAATCACGTGATTTTAATTAACTAAATAAAACGTTTTGAACGTAATGGAACGTAATGATTAATGGAACGTTTTGAAAACATTATTTACAGTTTTTAGATCTCTGAAAACTTTAACAGGTTTCCACGGAAATTTATGCATTTTTCGAATGAATTTTATTCACTCCTTAGAATAATATGGAACGTGAATTGTCTAACACACAGATAATACAGTAAAAATTGTTCGGAAATTGTGTTAGTTAAGAAAAAAGCTTCTAACTGAAATGTTACGATATTAGAATCTGTAGCTCAAAAGCAAGCATTGTTTTGTTTAATTTTAAGCCTATTTCAATATTTCACAGTGATTCAAATTGCTCTTTTCCTTCAATGAATAATTCAGAAAGGTTCATATTAGTATTAAACAGAAAAAAATACAAGACTCGTAAGAAAACATTAGAATTTAGGTTGTAATAGCAGCTTACCTCTTCGAAGCTTGGGTATGCGACTTGTGCCGTTGGATGATATTTACAAAACGATACCGTGACTTCTGCAGCTTGATCCTTGACGGGATTCGCTGTGGTCCATCCGAGAGGTCGAAGCATCATGGTAGAATAGTCATCCACTTCTTGAGTATAAGGCCAAGTTGAAAGAGTACTCGGAAGAGATTTCAAAATACCCTTATAATCAAAAACTGGTGTATTCACCCAAACTAATGGACAAGCATAACCTCCCTAGAAGAGCAAAATCTACATAAACATTTCAAGAAAATATACTCCATGTTTATAAAATAATATTACAAAAGCCATTACCTGGCCTTTATTCTAGCAACAGTTTTAAATGGCACAAAATTTCAGGTTTAGATACTTTTGAATTAAGAAACAAAAATCATAAAAATTACAAAATTTATTTTTTTACTGTCACCGCTGTCCTTAGGAAACGTTTATGCTTATTATTAAAGGAAAAATATTGTCTGAAATTTTTAATGTCAAAATTTCGTATTTACATCACAATTTCCACGTACCTTAAGAAATTGCTCAATAAATGCATTAGAATGATTAGAGTTCGATTTTCTCCCTGAAAGGCTATTCAATGATATGCTCTTCTTACATTTTTTGGGAAGATATTTTTTATGTACATCTTTAAAATATAATTTTATTACATTTAGTACTTTCGGCGAATTTATGCAGAAGGAATTAAAATTTTTAAACTCTAAAAGTGCAAAATTAATATTCTCGTAAGATTTTATTCCTATCAAAGACTTTTAAAGAATTAGAATCAGATAATCACACAAAAAATTGTTGAAACTAGAAACATTTTTATGTATATAATGTTACCAATTGGATATCTTCCAGTACTTAAGGCTATCACTGTTTTCCAGAAGATGAATTCTATGTTTCTGTGAATAAGGTCTTCATTTTACAGAAAAGTATCTTTTCTTTTATTTATTTGTAAGTATATATAAATATAATAATAAATATGAAAAATATAATAAAATATAACTTTAATAGTAAGTATAATTTAATAATAAGTATATATATATATATATATATATATATATATACTTCTCTTCAGATTATTATGAAAAATTATACTTTTCGCAGTAATCTGCATAGAAATTCTTGTCCATTAGTCGTAACAGCAAACAAGTTTTATTAAATTAATATTTTATTTTTGCTTCTTACTATGAAATGAATTAAGTACAGTAATCATGAAAAACTGAAAAACTTCGCGTATCATACTTTAACAGAAAAACCCATTTTGACCGTTCCCGAACCATTTGAATGATTTTTTTCCATGACGTCTATGCATACGGACAGTACTAAAAGTACTGTTTTTCCAACACAGCTTGTAAAGGGGAATTACAATCCGTTTTGGATTTGTTAAATGGGTTGTAGTAAAGTGGATTTACAGGTAGAATCGAAAGGGAATTTTCCCGTCATATCTGTACTTACGTACGTATATATCTTGCGTATCTCAGAAACGATAAGCCATAGAATACTGAAATTGTATATATGGGACTGCTGTAAGATGTAGTTGTGTGCACCTTTTTTGTTGCAATAGGCTGAACAAAACATATACACCCCTTTCCTGGCTTACCAGTTTGGTACTTACGTATTATCGCAACCAGGTTGGCGCGATTTATAAGTTTGAGTAAAAAAGTATGAATAGTAAGAAAATGTACATTTATTAATTACATATAATTTTAATACAGTTTTTTTATATTATTTTGTTTTAAAATATAAAATAGCAATTAAACCCTTCCGGTTTCGAATTTGAATAAGTTGCAGAATTATTTTTTCGGCGGAAATCTTTTGGCTATTGCTTTTAACACTGATTGAAAACCGTCTTCGCCATTAACAGCTTGAGCTTGGCGCCATATAAATTCGATAAAATATGAGTGAAGATGATGACGGGCTGTTCCTCTCTGTTTTTTGTTGCGCCATTTTGCCTCGCAGGCAGATCCCAAATACCCATAGTTAAAGTATTTCAGAGCATTCAATTTAACCAGTAAGAAAAATAATTTCTTTACGAAAAACTACGTATAACACGTAGGGTTGCCGTAAGTAGGGTCGCCAAATTTGGCGATTTATGCGAATTTTGGTCTGGTTGCGTTAATACGTAAGTACCAAAAAGCTTTATCTGGGTTTTATTTTCTCTATTATTGGCTTTAATTATATACTTCCAATTACAGAAGTGCTTTAAATGACAAAAAAATTTTATCAAATTTTAAAATAAATTTAATTTTTGACAAATTAAAAAATTTAACTTTTAATGGGGTCTTCTGGTTCTAATTGGGAATGTTTTATACTCGCCATAAAAAACTAAAATTAGAAGGAGTTTGAATCCCGTACTATAAAAATTGACCTGAATATTTAATTTCAAAATCTGCAATTTTTTATGTCATTTTCGACTTGCCTTCAAGGATTAATTAATAAAGCTTAAATAATACGAGGGAAAAAATTAAAGAAAGCGTAGCAAAAATTGTGTATTATTTAATAGGTCGTACAAGGAAGTCATGGGATGTTGGCATTAGATTTTCAGTTAAGTCAAAATGAAAACACTTTGCTCTGCAATTTGTGCAAGGTTCCTGAATATGATATGCAACTTTAAAATGAAATATCTTGGTCATTCATTGTAGAAGAATCGCAGGTTTTGTATTTTACTTTTTAAGGAGTACAAAAGTTTCGTAAACATAAGTATAAAGACCAAAGTATAAAAAAGTTAAATTTCCTCTTTTTTTTTACAAAACTGATATTTTTAAGTTCAAAAACGCTAAAACAGGAATATTTCCGTCATTTAAACTTTTTTTGTCACTGAAAATTTTTATCTATGGCCAACGGTTGCAAAACTAAAGGCCGAATAATGATTATCGTGTGCATGGTGTATACAATAATAATACTATAGATAAAAGTAATAAGATCTCAGCATTAAACTGTTACTATAAATTATCTCCACTTCATGGAATTTCAGATTATGTCACTTCGTTTTTACAAATGACCTACATTAGTTAAGACTTATTTTTGTTTAGCGAAAGAAATCAGTAGAAATTTCTTACTTTTACGAAAATAGGCTAAATGCTTAATTAACCTTAGTGTTTATTTTGTGCAATAATTACAGAAAAGTACAATCATTTCGAAAAACCATGTATGTTTAATTTAAAGAATGCTGTTTACGCAGAGCTGTACAGTGCAGAAATACAAGAATTTCAGCTATCGTATAAAATGCCATTATTTCAAGCTTTTCACTATAATTTAACAGAAAATAAAACTTCAGGTATGACGCTTTGAGCCAGACAGATACAGAATATGTAGATATCAGTCATCTTATAGTGGCTTCAAACGGCACTGGAATGTTTATGGTTATCCATTTGTCCATTTTCTCCTCTCTATTCTTTAGTCCTTCTGTTGTCCCAGGCTCAGTAATGTCCAAGGTCAATAATGAACACTGGTAGTTCGCCCTGAATTCAATTCCAGCCAATCAGGCTACCTGCATGGACATTTTTGCGTTTTAACCCTCGCGTAACGTGGATACGAGTAAGTTTTCCGTAGAAAGATCTTCACAAAGTCCTCCCTCCCGTTAGGCAGGCAGCATTCGCGTGCTTTGGCATTGTAGAGTCAATAGGATTATCGATATCAGGAACCTGAAAAATGTGTAATGCACTCGCCGGCACTCGAACCTGGACCTCTCGAATACGCGCCGAGTGTGCTACCGTTACATCACGAAGGTATGCAGAAAAGAGGGAGAAAATACCGTATAAGCATAATCAAATGAATCAAATCTTCTCCTGAATTCCCAAGTCCTTAATCCTAAATACCTAAATCTCATCTAGATTAACTTACTTAATTTCGGCAAAACATTTAAAGGCAACCTGCCCATTTTCTGTTTCCATTTTGACCAAGAGAAACCTGGGGAATATCTAAACCACTTTTCCTCCCCCAAGTGTGCTTGCTACTTATCCAAATATAAAAGAAGAAGCTACGGTGGTTTATAAAAGTTAAATATGCGACTGTAAATTCAGTATAATTCGAAGAGATATGCTTTGATTGATTCAAAATTTTTCGAGAAGGTTAAGGAAATTCTGTTACGTATTTATGACTAACAATTACAGTAAATAAAGAATTTTAAGAAGTGTTTGTAATCATTTACATATTGTACATCACATTTTCTACATCTCTGTTTTTAAATAATAAAAAATCATTATGTATTTTGAACACATAATGTATGTAATCATTATGTATTCAAAATTACGTATTGTTCAAAATTACGTATTGTGTATGTACGTAATTTTGTTTCTTTCTAGAGGCAACGAAATTTGACTCGTTTGACATTTGAACATGTGCACTTTGAAACCTAACTGTTAATTTTTAATTCATTTATTTCAGATTCTGTGACGGTTTCATTTAGAACTAACAAAATTTGAAATTATATAATTCTCCACTCGAACCTGTGCATTTTGAAGGCCGAATTTTAATTTTGGAACTTATTTCATATTTTGGGCGAATTTAATGCATTTAAAACTCCGCGATTTAAAAGCAATGTGCTCTAAATTACTCTGAATTTTGATATTGACAGTATTTTATTATGTTAGGTTTTACGTGTTAATTGTTTTCATTTCGCTCATTATATTTCGGATGCAAAAATCTGGATAGATAATGTTTCATTTTGCACTCATTTTTCTTTGCTTTGCACCGTTTCTATCTACTAAAGTTTCCATAAGTGTTCTCTAATTTCGATCGCGAGAAAAACCTGCATTCAGAAAAGAAAAATATGCACCTTTTAACAGAGAATGACCCTAAAATAATGTATCGTTTTAAGTTAAATATACATAGTTTTACTGTTAAATATTACAAATTATTTATATGAAATAAAACTTTGAACTGAACGAAGACAAGGTAAACGTTGCAGTAAAATCTGAAGACTGACCGAATTAAAAATTAGTAAATTTGATGCAAATTAAACCGAGCAAAAATTTAGTTTCCGAATAGATATGGGTGATCTAAAATATTTCAGTATTTTAATTAAATGAAAATACGAAAAAAATTTTTCTGTATTATCAGTTAATTCTCCAGAAAGGTTGGACATCATTGAGATGTTTTTGCAGGACCTTTTTAAAAACTGGTGTGGTGTTATTTCTAGAACGAGCTGTAAACCTTGGAGACATTCAAAGATATTCGCCAAACTGATTTGCCAAGGGCAAAAATAATTTTCAAAAGCAACTTATTAGTGATTTTCATGAAAGAATAATGGATAAATAACAATTTATATACAAAAATAACAAATAAGAATAAGATAAATATAAATAAAAACTTACATTAATTTTTTCTTTGATCTAAAAACCATGATTTCTAAAACTACATGCATTTTGAAAATGCAGAATAATAATATTGTTTCTATATTTCCTCGAAAATTCGAAGGAATAGGGATCAAGTAAATTTTGAATTTTTGCCAACGATATGCTTTATTCTCCATAAATATCCTCTCATTCTTCTAAACCAAGTATTCTTACTTTGAAACATAGCCCTTCATTTCTGTGCTATTCAAAGACACTTCTAAGCGTTCAGAATCACTTATACTGAATTTCCAAATGCTAGTGTAACTAAATGTTAGGACGACGAGGAAAACTTTATATTTTCCGGAAAGATCTAGATTATCTTCCTTTGTGGTTAAGAAATAAAGCTGTCCCGGATTTTCACTTTCATGAGAAAAGACGAACCAATTTAAAGAGAAACATGCCAGTGTATACGTAAGTTAGGCAAAAGAAATCTACGCCGAGCATAAGTTTGTTCTGAGCCGCCCAGATGGTATAGTGGCTAGAGGAGACTGACTGCGATATCAAAGGGCCGGTGTTCGAACCCCGGAGAAGGCATGGATGTAAAATTGTCTGTCCCTTCATAGGAGGTAACGGTGGCCGCCTATTGAGTGGCTCCACATTAAAATAACCACCACGTCTGGCCTCAGAAGTGGCTAGTGCCATTATAGGCAAGTGCCCGTCATTGGAAAAAAAGTTTGTTCTGGTTAATTTTACGCAATTTACTTTATAAAATACTTGTAGGATTCAAATAATTATTGAAAATTTATTATGAGTTTATTTCATCCAATGGCAGAAGGTTCAGTTAATCGATTAAGGCAAAGTGTCCTCAATGGAAGGAGTTGAAACATCTGCTTATGGAAAGGGATCCCTTCGAGAAGGACTTTCTAAGGAAAACTGGCTCATATCTATGTTACACATGGAGGAAACACTCGTGCAGTCAGCCCGTTCACTAGGATTTGAACTTGAATCAAACTACCATTATTGAGAGACTTTACTGTTAGGTTGCTGGTGAAACGCCCAAAACAGATGATAATTAACTCACGAGAATATGCATTTGTTGTACAAGCACGAAAACGTGTGATTAGAAGAGTTCCCAAATTCAGCTTTAATGTCATTTGCAATTACAAACGAGAACATGAAAGTCATGGTTGAAATAATTTTAATTTCAGCGGCAAAGAGCTGGCCTGCTGAAGGATTGCTATATTGATGCAAATTAACGATAAGTGAAAGATATCCATATTTGGCGTTTTATCGTTATTTTGATGTTTTATGCTATTTTTACTCTTCTCTGGAATTAACGCCATTGATGTAATCAGTGGTGTTAGCTGTTACGAAGCTTAATCGTAAGACAATACTTATATACGCATCACAAAATGTAATGTTAGGTCAAAAGCAATTTAAATTGAAATTATCAAAAATGGCTTTAAACACATTTTTCTATAAATTATTTTGACGAGATACACAGAAAAATATCTAGATAATTTTAAAGATAAAACAAACTAGCGTTATGAGGAATAGGGTTTCCTGTCATTCATGTATTTTTATTTCTAAACGAACTTTAGAAATATTAATTCTAGTCCTAAAATTAGATCAAGAACAGTATGCAAAAACAAAACTTTTAAATCAATGTTTATGAATATTTTTGACTGTGCATGCTGTTTCTTCTCCCTGTTTAATATTTTCATGCTGGCATTTTTTATTATCTTGCTTTTTATCTCTTTTATGAGTTCCTCCAAAGACTCATTCTCAGTTCCCCGCCCATCTCAGACCCAATCACAGCACGAGATAAATGACTCTTATCTCTTAAACAGGCAAATTGGAATATGAATTGTTTCTTAAACTGCAATATTAAAAACGTTTAAACAAATATGTAGCACGTTTGTTGTAAAAAAGTAATCTTAAGGTGACTCTCACCACTATCGGCAGGTTATTTGAGGCCAAGGTGATGCCTTTGAATTCAACATCTTATAACAAATTTTCTTACCTCGCATTTCCTGAACCTGCTGTTCTTTTGCGTAGGACTCAGTTCGTAGAGGCAGAGGCAGAGTTTGGCCATTCGAGGTAAGTTGTTGACATTCAAATTGAAGTGCACCGTTTCTTCCCACGTACACTGATTGTCTTCTAAACACTTCTCTGAGGTATGACAAACGTCGCAGAGGATTTCATCACTGTAAAATATCCCACACTGAACTGCCACCTAAATTTAAATACAGAGAGTATAAGCACTGCGTTGGATTTATACACTCTGCACATACACACACACACACACACACACACACAAAAAAAAAAAAAAAAAAAAAAAAAAAAAAAAAAAAAAGAAATTGGACAGTTCTATAGCCTCCGTTCTACTAGGCCGATTGACGAAATTTAACTTGCGTTTTTCATGCCTCGAAAGCACGTCTTAGGATATATATTAGATTTAAATATAGCATTGTTCTAACATATGTATTTTCACACTAAATCGGACTTGAAAGACGTACTGATTTTTTTCCACATTTCGACTTTAAAGCTCAAATCATGCCTAAATATTAAATTTTATAAAATTTGGTAAGAAACTTACCGATAAATTTAAAAATTTATCTCGGAGCACTTTTTTAAGTTTGCGTGAAGATTCACTTGGCGAAATTCTTAACTTATACTAGCCTATTTTTCTTTCTCTTTTTTCATTGTGCACGACGGAAAAAACTGCATCGTTCGTTATTTCAAATAATTTGAACAAGGTGCGTAAGGGACGTTTAGCGTTATAAAATAACTTATAACAAATATGTCAAACTTCATAACGCATCAATATATAAATTCACGTACGTCATTGAAAATTTTGAATAAAAATCTCTAACTTTTTGCAGACATGCCTAGAAATACGTCTACTTTAAGGAGATGATAAAATGGGTTAGGATTGAAAAAAATTTTTAAATTATTTAAAAATAAAAATTTTAAAAAGAAATAAGAAAATATCTGCAAATTTTATTTGTACTGAACCTAAATTTCGAATTGTGAAAGAAGAAATCAAGTAAGTTTAATAAAAGGAAGAAATATTAAAAAATTCTATTAATATTGAGAGCTAAATTTTGTGAGCTAATATGTAGGTATCTTATTTCAGAAAAGTCCGATTTTTTGTCAGAATATTTATGTTAAAAAAATGCTATATTTAAATGAAATATATATCCTAAAAACGCAAATTAAATTTTATCAATCGGTCCAGTTAAAGGGGAGACCTGTCCTATTTTCTTTCTGGAAAGCGTACCTAGATTTATCTAAAACTGATTTATCGTTATTTTGATTAAAAAACAAAAAAAGTATTTGTGCGTTATTAAACAAATTTTTAAAAATAAAAACGATTTTTAAAAACAAAAAAAGTATTTGTGCGTTATTAGAATCATTCAGCTTTTCCATGACAGTCCGGTTTCTGACGATCACATTAACGCATTAACTACTCCAAATCCATGTTTATTTTGCTCATGATGCGTCATTTTGTTCCAGTTTTCATTTCTCAAAATAATAAATAAATAAATAAATTAATTAATAATATGAAAGTTTCAGATTTTATATTACGCCCAAAGGGTCGTTTTTTTAACGTTTTGTGTTACCTTTATTTATTAAATATCATGTTCTTCGCACTTAAGCCATAAAATTCAATTCAACAGCAGTATCATAAAATAATTTAAAAAGAGCATATCGTTAGAATTCCCGATACACAGCCTCGCGCTCTGTAGATAAAATTTTTTTTTTCGTACAGTGTTGCCATTGCTCCCTTTGAAATCGTTGAGTCAGTTAATCAAAAAATTTGTTAAAGTTTTACAAGTATGAAAGAAATAATAAAACAAATTACAGATTCCAAATTTGGGCTTTCAGATGCCCATCAATTCGAGTGCAAGACTATGTTATTCGGAATTTGTTGTCTTTAGGTACCGTTGTTTTTTCCCAGTGCGTGAAACATACATACATTCATGCAGATTCTTCATTATGTAATTTTTCTTTAAATACAATACAGGTCTCTAATATTTAGTGGCAACAATTTGAGAAGTGAAACGCCGTTTATAGTGAACCAAGGTAAGAGGCCAAAACGAAATTAATAGCCCTATTGTGAAAGTTACCTCTTCGGGCTAAAAACATCGAGACTTAGAATTGGAAATGACACAGATACTTCATTCCTGAGAAAATGGTCTAATTCCAAAATTTTACCCTCACAGGAAACCACATTCACCGCATGTTTGTCTGTTCTCTTTCCACGACAATTTCGGTTTTTTGAGCACGGTTGGTGGTTGCGTCTGGTATTTCTGTTCGACATGTTTTGGGCTCGTTGTCCAATTTATCGATTGATTCTCCCGGAGAGGAACTTGAATGGTCTCTTCTTATAATGAAATGGAGTCGTGAGTTAATTGTTATGGTAGACAAGGATATGACTTTTCTTTTGCTTGCATCAGTGGCAGCCCTCAAGGAACTTTCCACAATTTTCCAAATCATATACTAAAGTAGACATGGAATATTGCGATGCCAAGCTCTTTTCATACTCCCCGGAATATTGTAGTAAATAACCAAAGGATACAACTTATATACTCTAGGAATATTTCAGAAATGCTGGCTATAAACAAGAAGCAAATCTATTGTCTATCTGACCATTTCCTTGTGCTTGTGTGAAAGAAAGCATCAGGACCGATTATCTTTGAAAAACATTAATTGATACATTAAACTCGTGAATATACGTACTTACTTTTACTTTACTGTCATGGTTGAGTCTCTGCGCGAAATGCACTGTTAGAGACAACGGCTCATCGATGCTCCACGCTGACACGGTAGTTGCTTTTTTCCGCTTCAGCAAAGTGCCACTTTCGCTGGTAAGGGAACGACTTCTCTGTCTCTCCAACTGCTTATTCCAGATACAGTCTTCATCTACTAAAAACAAAAAGGTTGGAGGTTAATATCTACTCCCGTCAGCCATGCTTATATAACTTTGTACAAATGCATATAATGTTTGCAAAATCCTGTAAGTTATTTAAAATGCAGCACATTGACAACAGTAGTAAATAGGCTTTGAATATTGTGCAATACGTGGTAGGATTATAGATATCAGGATGCAAATATCCCCAACAGGATATGCAAATGATTAGCATTGTGCAAATCGAATGAGTCAAACTCACGACTAAGAAGAGCTGTAAACAAAGCGAATAGCAAGTCCGATTTATAAACAGGAATTGTGTATATTCTGAGAGTCCCTTTGCATGGAAAACTCCAGCATGCCAAACAATGACAGTCATTCAAACAAGTTTTTTAAGTTCACAGAGAAACATTTATAGTTTGCAGAGACATATGATGACTATTCTTCCAGGAAATGGGAGTTGGTTTTCCCATGCTTAACATTTAGGCAGACAGTCCTCGTGTGTTTTACCATACTTAAAAATAAACCAAACGAAATCCGAGAAATCGGCGTTCATGTTGAACGAAATCACGTCACAGAGATGCGAATATGTAGTCGATGGCAACAGGTGGGACGAACAGACTGACAGGAAAGATTGCATTAGTCGCTTTAGACTACCGAATAACAGGGGGCATGTTGCATGTTTGGCAAAGACAGGCACAGCAACATTAAGGGCTCTAGGGCAAAAATTAGGGTATTTGTTGTCTGTCAAAGGAGAAGAAACTACTGAGCTTCCACTGCTGCGATTACCATTGTCCCTACGTCACATTCGTATACGGCTGCAACAGTGCTCTGTATGCCGGACGTAAAACTGCACGACAATGTCTTTTTAGATGAATCTCGATTCTGCCTCTCTACATTCTGCCTCATTATTCCACGATGGCCATATGAGAGTCTGTAAGCATCACGGTGACGAACATCAGGAAATTTGCATTTTACGTCGCCATATCGGTGTGTTACCTGGAGTTAAAATTTTAAAGAGATATTGGATTTTACTTCGGTAGCTGCCTAATACGCATCACAGGCTGGCTCATTGAACAGCAAATGCTATTCCTCTAAAGTTTCGAAACATGTTGCTTTCTCTTATTTTGAAACTTTTTCGCAGACACGTTTCAACAGGACTCTGTGCGACCGCACATAACAAATTACGTTCAAAAAATTTTCATCGCACCACCACCACATGGCTGCCTAGCCCTGATCATGTTCGCGAGATGTCGACCGTCAAACAAGCTGACAAACGAGTGATCCTGTGAACATCATCTGCAGCCCAATCAGATAACTTGTGCAGTGTGTAGAAGAAGAATGGCCTGGCATTCTTTAAGTTTGTAGAGACATTAGGTATTTTTTGGAAGCAGGTAAGATGAAAAATGAGCAATCGCCTTCGCCGGGAATCGAACCAGTACCTCTGGAATACCGGCCCAGCGTGCAGAATCACTACACCACGAAGGCACGCTAGGAAGTCGGGAGAAATACCTTATAAATATACATCCAAAACTTCTTTCTTTCAATGCCGCGGCGTGTTGTAATAGGTATTACTAGCCACGGGGACTTTGTAAAATGCTAATTTCTTCCGTGATTTGAAATTTTAAAGCACAGGTTACATATTTTTACTACACAACAGCAAACTGTTAAGTGATTTTAAGTGAATTTGATTATTAATTGATGTTTTAAGATATATTTAAAAACATTTAGTCGTCCATAAATAACCTTCCGCATCTTCCTTTATCTAACAGAATATATCTTTCAAAAGGAAAATTGTTTACGTAAAGATTATTTGCAAAACGTAGTGCATGTCGAAGCTAAATATTTTCTCTGACTCATCGTAAAGCAAATTTGCATCACATTCTACCTTATCAACACGGAATAATCCTTTGCTGTGGGCATAACACTAGTGTTGATTTACTACTCTATTTCTTAGACTTCTGCAATATTAGAACATTATATAAAGAGAACTGATCAGTAACTTTCATATCTTACTACAAGGACACATAGTTAGTTTTATAGGAAGAAATAATTTTGTTTGAGTGTCAAGTATATCGTTTTTTCTTGTTTTATTTCTCTAAATGAAAAAGTACGTTAAACAGAAATCCTAAATAGAATCTATCTAACAAAATGAGTTAAAACGGGAAATGAAATTCATTCGATAAACATAGTATAAATTCGCGTATGTCAAATGTTCTTTCTAGTTTTTAGAATATTACGAATTCAGGTCATTACGTTTGGAATTTTGTAATTGCCTATACAATGGTAAGCATAATTGCCTGGATATTGCCTGCACAATGGCGAGCATACGACATATGTAACAGAGACCTACAATGTTAAAAGTTGCAAATAAAGTTATGCAAACCAGTGCCTAGTATAATAAGTACAAAATGTAAAAATTTGAATGACAACCGTATCTTGTTGGACTAGATCTAGACACCTGGATGTGAATTCTTGCCCTGTTACTCAATCACACGGCAGAACTTTCGGTTCATCAGTACTTTAAGTTCCTCCATGCCGCACAGTCACTATACACTTAAAAAATATATACTTTTTTCGGGTTTGGAACCAGGACTCAACAATACGGAAGCCAGAATTGCTAATCACTATACTGATCAGGGCAACAGTGATTTAGTACAGGAACAAGTTGATGAAAAGCTAGTACCTGTGCATTCCAGAAGGTACCTTAGATATCGCCGGGCCATGGCGCCGGATATTTGTGATGACATATTATACCCGAAATTTTTCACGATTACTATATATCCTTTACTTTTCAGAGCGAAATAAAAAGTATACTTCGTGTGCTGTTTGTTCTCAAGATATTGCCAAAAATCAGATTTCAAATATTATTATGAGGACTAACAAAAGTGGACTTACGTAAAATTGTATCCGAAGGTACCAACACAAGTTCTGGAGTCTTGTCATTTGAAAGTGTTTCTTGAACATACTGGAAAAAGAAATAAGCTTAGTTATAGGTAGCTTTATATTTAATAAATATAAGAAGATAGTAAACTAAGCTATATTTCAGTACTAGCGAAACCTAAATCTATTCCTAGGCTTAACCTCATGTGAAACGGCTCAGCTGGTTTGAAGAGAAACAAAACGTTATCGCTTATCTGCAAGCAAATTTTGGGCTAGGACAGCCAATGCTAAAGCAGCTACTCGGGCAACTTGCGTTATTAAGAAGGGCTTTGAGAAACAAGGTAGCGCTATGAAGGCTGAGGAAGAATAAACAAATCACAGAGGTACGAGTACTGCGGATTATTTATGGTATATTTAATTATGAGAAAGCACTCGAGGACTATCTGCGTAAGGGAAGAGATACCTTCGTGGAGGGTTCTCTAAGGGAAACTGGATCGTATACACGTTATGGAATGGGGAAAACCACGAAAATGCCCCTAGACCGAACTACCAATGTTCAGCGACTTTACACCTCGGCCGCTGGTGAGAAGAATGAGTTATAGCAATTATCTGAAATGCAGTTTGTAAAGCGATAAGAAAGGTCGGTGAATCAACAATTAACAACTCTCCACGTTTTTCAAGAAGATTCCCTCTAAGAAGACAAGCACAACTAAAGAGACGTCTTACAGAAGACAGCAAAGTCAATTTCAGCAATCAAACATTTTCACATCAGGTTGTCTTAAAGATCTACCACCTACTGCTTTGTCCTTCCGTCGAAACGCAGTTGAAACACATGAAGATGCGTCCGTTGTGCAAAGGACTGGGAGAAAATGAAGTGAAAAGGTGGACTGAGCCGTGTCAGCTGCACTGTTGCAGCAACTAGGTGAACGTTATCAGTTTTGAATTGACACATCCGAAGGCCTGCAATCATAGAACACGACTGCACACATTTTACAGAACTTACAGGGAGCTTTGAATGCTTCAGTGTCAACATTTCTACACAATTGGTCAAATGCGATTTGCCGCAGTTTTTCCTCAATTTACTAAGACTGTCACTAACACCAGCGACTGCAGTGGTGTCTCGATACAGTCTCTTGGATGGCTGGTAGCACAAGCTAGTATGCAGCAACGATTCTCATTTCTATTTCACCAACTAGAGCAGGGAGTAAGAGTCTGGTTCCCAGATGAAACACTCTATTATACAGCCTTCCAGGCACGTAAAGCGAGAATTAACCGCTTAGCTGCCCCGAGCAGCGTTTTATCTACTGACATTGGGCAAGAGAGGAGGCTCAGAACCGGACTGTTGAGCAGCCCATACACGATTCACGCCATTCTCCTGAGTTAGATCTAAGGCGTTTGAATCCGGCTGCGACTGCTTAACGACGACAGTCAGATCAACAGTGTTAGGAGTACGATGAAATGTGACTGAAATGCTGCAGTGGGTTGCAATTATTTACTTTCAGTGGTTGCAGTATGCTATTTTCCTGCAAAATAACTCCTAATTGCACACAGCAGTAATCAACAGACAAGCCCTGCAAGGTACCCAGACGCTTCAGTAACCACATCAAGCATTAAACGGACGTGATTGGGCGTCATTTGCTTGAACTATCCTAGTCTCCATCGAAGATGGTTAAAAGGATACGCCACAAAAGGTGGTCCTAGAGAAACAAAGTAGCGTCTACTAGGCTTACTGATCAAGCCGCTGTATTGCATTATCGTTTTTGAAATTTAAATCACTTATATATAAGTATATGGTATTTCATTTATACAAGTATATTTACATATTAATATTTTATCACATTCTACTCACTCTCTCGTGTTATTTCATTTTCTATGTCGAACAGTATACGCACACATACCGTATCAACAGAAATCCTCTCGAAGTCTTTATCTTCGCATCCATCGGCCCTTAACATATATTTTCAAAGACAGAAATATTTTAAATGACTCTAATATTCTTGCTTTGAAATTTTCAATTTTGAAATTAAAAGACATAAAAGCCAGATTTCATTTGTCCAGATTTCTTAAAAAATTTGTTTTTTATTGTATTATACTAAATCTTATTACTATATTAGGTAAAAGTGTATAAGAGATAAAGCGTTTAATTCTCATGCAATTAAAATGGAACGATATGTTTAATTTCAGATTTGGAGATCATGTTTCTTAATAACTCGGGCATTGTATACAAGTTGGAAAACGAATATTTTCGTATCTAAAAATGAAACTCAGTTTTAGAAAAAGATTTATGATATTAACAAATTAAATGATGAGCTCTGGTACGCAGATTATCGTGAAACATTTTGATCGATACAAATTTTTGCAAAAGAGAGAATTTTTCATAAAACGCTGTAGAAGTCTCTATAAAAAACACCATTAGTCCGATAAATTTTTATATGACTGTTAAATTGTTATCCTAAAATAATAAAACTGCATGTGAATAATAACGTAGATTTCATATTTTGAAAGTTTCTAAATTGCTTCTATGAAAATTCCTTCTTCATATGATAAAAATTATAAATTTAAGAATAGTACACATCAGTAATTCACAAAATTTATTCTTGATCACATTAATGAAAAAAAAAATCCACAAAATATAATAACTTGTATTTTAATTCATCGCTCAAGAAAAACTATAAAAGAAAAAAAAAGTCTTAAATATCTCAAAATTTAAAATTAAATATTTCTGCTAATTTTTGTCTTACGGTAAGCAGATCTTCTAAATGCATATTACTACTGAAACTGTGGAGGGGCTTCTCGTATTGGAACATTGTGTTTGTAAGTTTGTAAGTTGCTTCTGAAAGTATGTTGTTTCACGAAAATTTTGGCAACGATTTGTAATCAAAGAAACCTTTGTGTCATTTTATTTGCAAAATAATTGAAGTGATAATGATATAGAGCAAGATTTCAATATCTAATTGATATACTTTGTAAACAATATCAGTTTATGTTAGACACTTCGTAAAACGTCAGGAAATGAATCCCTGTTCTCTCTTTCTCCAAAAGATCGCAAGATTGAATTTTGAACTCTCTTGATTAAGCTTTGAAGTCACTCCCACAGTTGCGATATCAATGTGCACTTAGAAAATTACTTGCGCCCACCAACGGCAGAGCGGTAAAAGTCGCTGAACGCTGGTAGTTCGCTCCGAGGTTCGAATCCCGCGAACGGGCTGGCTGCATGGGCGTTTTCGCGCTTTTCATCATGTGTAACGTGTATACGAGCCAGTTTCCCTTAGAAAGTCCTCACGAAGGAATCCCTCCTCTTAGGCAGATACTCCTCGAGGCTCTGCCGTAACTAAAACAAACCAAAAACCAAGAAAATTACTTACTATACCCATATGGGAGTCAAACCTTCTGCGTTTAGTGCCCCAGAATGAGCATAAATGTTCTCCAAATATAACTATATGGATGAAAGACAGTATAAAAAGGTGGATTTCGTAATTTTTTTAAATGAAATTTTATTAAAAATAACATAATAAGAATATTTAACTGGAAGTTAATGTCTGCGACTAACGATTGAAAAACAAAGGCCACCTAAAATATTTAATTGTGACGCTGTGCAGTTTCATAATATCTGTATAAAATTCTGCATAAAAAAGCACAATATTACATAAACAACAAACTTAAATAAATGAGTCTTCGAATTGTGAACAGAGATTGTTAAAAAATATACCTTGAATTGCGATAATGGATGAGGTCCTACAAGATATTCCTCCAGTCCACATATCTTGAGAACGTAATTTTTGGCGAGGTGGCTCTGCAGACCTATACTAGGGCCTTTCTTGCTCAGTACGAGGTCAAGAAGTTCTTTGGCATTTATACTAGGGTGGACGGAAAACTTGAAAGTCGACGACTAGAATGAGAAAAAAGAAGGAAGACGTACTAGTTATTCGTGACGGAAATATATTTAACGAACGAAATTTTGAATTATTTTTCAACTGGATGCAGACATTTTGTGAATAATACAGTGGTGTTACGTAATTAATGCATTCCATAAACCTTTAATGTAACTTGAAATTTACGTAAATAAGATATGTAAACTATTTAGATATATTTTCCTAAGGAACTGCAATACGCGATAATATTTATTATTATGCAATACGCAGTAATTGCAGTATAATAATACTTATTATTAATACATGTCTAGAAATATATATGTATATTATATACGCATAGACGTATTACAATACATATACATATTTATATATCAGGATTGGCCAAACTTCATGTCAGTAAGAGCCGCACGTTTGAATTCAGGAATGTTCGATAGCCGCATCTAGATTTTCTAAAAGCCACAAGTTCATATTTACATCATTATAGAAGAAGTGGAGGAGGTTTTAAATGGAAAGAAATCCCTGATAACTTTGTAAAAAGAGTGTAAAGTAATTAATAACTTCCTTTTGAACACTTAATAGTTTTAGTTTACCATATTTCATACATATATTTTATATGCACGAGCCGCACAAATTGACTGCGAGAGCCATATCAGGCTCGCGAGCCGCACTTTGACCCCCCCTGAATGAAACTTCATGCAGCGATCTTTTAACAAAACAATGCTCAATAGTATGCTGTCACGCTATCCCGATTTTCTCGATACCGAGGGTGTTCGAATCTTACCCTGATCTGCACGTTCTCCAAATCTCTCAGCCATTGAGAACACGTTGTCTTGGGTTTCCGAGAGACTGGCACATCATCACTAGCCATTACGATTGATGAGCATTGGTATAGAGTTGAAACCGGACTCTGCCAAGCTGGATTTTACAATCGTTATTGTTGCTAGAGCTGACAGCTCTGAGTACTAAATTTTGCACGCTGTGAAATCCTAAATCACCTGCAAACTTAATCATGTCTTCTTCCCGTTATACTGTATCTATACAATAAATAATGTGTTGTTAATTAATTTCCTTCCTGCTGTAGCAATTTTAATGGCCAACAGTGTACTTGGCTCTATAGTGGGAGAATCGGTGATGGGGGTGGATGACTGTAAAGAGAAATGCTCTTCTCTGACGACTTCTATCCCTCTCAATGTTGAAGACTGAGAATAATCGGTGTCGTCTGATTTATCATTTTCCCAATATCATTCGTGATCGGCATCTCAGAAACATTTCTAGACTCATACGGTCATACGATTTTACTTGCAGCATCAGAATCTGCATTTGCTGCCTCACTCGTGACTTCATTGTTCTATAGATTAGATACACTTTTTGAACAGTTCGAACCATCCCGCACTAGCTATGTTCCATGTCCACGATGTCGTCCTTCTACTGTAATTTTTGATGTAAAGATCTTGTACTTTCTTATATAATTGTGACCTTCAATAGTAACCGCTTTTATATCAAATCCTCGATTAAGTGAAATAGCAACTTTGCATCTCTATGATCGGGTTCAGCCTTTTGCATTAATAATGTTTAGGCACCTCAACGTTTGCAGACTTTTCTTGATTTTAAATATATGAATTTTATCCTTCACCGGCATTGCAGAAATTGGTGGATTTATATTCTGAGATACTGCGAATATAATTTCTTCCTCTTCCTACGAATTATTTGCAATTTTTTTTTCCAAATGAAATGCAGACCTTTTTTTTCAGATTTATTACAAGTACATTCAGTTTTCGAATATTATTTAAGGTATCCGACCTCGTTCGGGTACCATTTTTTTAAAAATGGTTTTTATTTTAACTATAAACATATTAATTTGAAGATAAGCATATTAATGAGTGAAAACAATTTAAAACGTAATGCTAAGTAATTTTAATTTTGAAAAATAATGAAAAAAAAGGATAATTTTTGCTTAAATTTTGCCTTTACGGCAACAACCACGGTGAACAATGTATATATAAATATGCAGTTTTTAATTGTATTTATATTTACACTTGTTTTGTATGCAATGAAGCAAATAATTAAGAAATATTCTATATCTTGAGATATGTCAAAATGTATAGTATTTACTGTATATTCTCCTATTATGCATCAAAATCTAAAAATAAAAGTAACAAATTCAACTCTAATTAAATTTCTAAAATCTTTTGCTTCAGAGCATGCATCAGATTATATGAAACATGTATAGAAAGTATCATTAATTTTATCCATAAAATTTTGAGTTATGGCTGTTACCATTGGCAATATTTACAGAAAAAACATTTTTCAGAAAACAAGTTTAAACTTTTCATAAAACAATTTCTTAGTGAAAGAAGCGTCCCTGATAATTAAAATTCCCCTAACTTAACACCTTGTTTTCTTTCTTCCCACACTTTGAACCTTTTCTTTCGAACAAAGCATAATTTTTTCTTTGGGTTTTTGTAAAACTTGTGGAATGCCACCAAAAGTCATGACTTTGCACTTTATAAAGTTTTCGAATTCCCTGCTCAGTGTAAAATTCAGGGCACATACCTAACCTTGAAAATGCTTCAAGCAAACCTATAAATCCATCATTAAATAACATTAAATAACCCAAGACTTACATTTGCTCCAAACATTAATATTTGCAAGTTTATGGATGTTTCTTCGGAACAATTGCAATAAAATGCCATTAAAACGTTCCTTGATATTTGAGTTTTGCCATGTAGACACTTTTTAATAACTCTTGTTATGTAGTCAACTCCATATATGTAGGCTTAATTAAATTCAAAACATATATTGATATATCAGAGGTTTTGCCTAATTTTTTTCTTTCTGATTTTTTCCTGATTTCTGCAATCACACATTCATAGTTGCACCAATTCAGTGATACTGAGAGGGCATGGCTTCGAAGAAGAGCTGCAATGGAAATAACAGTTAGTACAACTGCGCATCTCAATTAAGTTTCAAACATGACTTCTAATTGCAATCCCTAATTCTGCAGTTATCATAAAAGAATCAGTCAGTTACCTTTCATTTCAATTCAGGAGCGGAGTTTTTACTTTCGTAGTCCACTACCAACCCTTTCGTACAGTCAAGCATTCCACTTTCTTGACCGAATCTTTACCATATAGATCTTTCACAATTAAAAACACCTTAGAATCCCCATCCTCGAAAACTAGTGTGCTTCAGCTTTAGTAATGTAATAGATGATTCAAACAGGGAATAAGCACCAACTGCATCCATCCCGGAGTGCTTCTTTATAATTTGCAAAACAATTATATTACGTTTACATATGTCGTGCTGAAGATTGCATGCCATTCTGTTTATTTGTTGCAAATGATGTAAAAATGTGACATAGCTTTCAAATCAAGCACTTGCCAACGCTAATCACAAAGCAGCAAACAATTACATCAACGTCGAATACCTCTGCGCCAACTAAATAAGAAATTAAGGGAAAAAACTAACACCAGATTCTTAAATGTATTACAAAAATCTAAACTTAGTACGCAGATGTATAATTTACAAATATTGATGATAAATAAAGTTTTAAATAGGTATATCTATTTAAACGCTACTTCCGGCCCAGAAATTGGAACTTCCGGTTTATTCAGTACGAAAATGCTTATAACTTCAGTTCTAATTAACCTATCAACAAGCAAAAACTTGTATTTGATAGCTTCTTTAAGATAATGTAATAAAGTAAAAATCGAAATTTTGACCGAAAATCGTCTTTTGTACGAGGTCGGATACCTTGAGGAAATACAAGCAGTTGAAAGAAGAAGTTGTTTACGGATTGATTTCAGTCTGAATGCTACAGCTTTCATGAAATTACGTAACTGCGAATCTAGGTATTTCAGAATATTTACAAATACAAGCGAAGAGGTATGATTTTGCAACCAAAGCTCAAGCCAAATTAAAATCGCCCTACCAATGCAGTTATGTTCAATGCCAAAAGCGAGAGTTAGAAAAGTAATAAAGCAAAACCAAGGACAAAAATTATCCCCCAAAGCCTTAAAAACTAGTCTTGGATTCTCTGTGATTATTCTTTGCGATAAGGCTGGCGATGTATGATAAGGAATTTTATTCAGACAATAAAAATAGATAAAAAATGGCGACAATTAAGAATTTTATCGATAATCCTGAGTACGAGAATGTCTGGCAGTACTTTCTTGGCAATGGAAAATGCTAAAATTGAAAGCAACAAAATTTAGGAGTTAACTATGATAACAGAATTCTAAAGAAATAAGCTAACTGATGTTTTACGTTGAATAGCGAAGAGTTGTTACTTGAATAAATAATTGCAATATATTATCTGTATATTTAGTGCTAAATATATATCTTTATACAACGTTTCAAGGTTACCGTGAAAGTGAAAAATTAATTATAACTCTCAAGTTAATTAAACTCCTAATGGTCTTTTAACTTCAAGGAAATAGGTAAGAATAATATCTTTTAATTGAAAGTAATTAAAATTTGAATATTTCCTGCTTTGATGACGCAAATTTGAATATTTCTTTAGCAATTGTGACAAATTTATGCAAACTTTCGTTTTTTATTTCTAGCTCTAATTTTTTTCCACTAGATGGACTCATTAAAATAGTTATAAAGTGGCTAGCCTCTTTATAACTGCTTTCCTCTGAAAAATATGCGAACAGCTATTCGCTCACGCTTTTAGACGATTTTCATCGAATTTACATCTTATTTGACCTAAAAGTTTTGGGTTTTAAATGTTCTATTTGAGAACCCTTATTTTTCACTGTGTTCCTACGCCGTAATTTCCAAGACAATAACGCCTTTTATAGTATCCGAAGAGCTGTTTTATCCCATTCCTCTTGAACAGCTTTTCGAAGTCCAAGGAGGATTGTACGTAGACGTTCGGACAATCTGCTTTTTAAAAGCCCAAAAGCGCAAAAATCCATGGGTGATGCATCAGGAGATTTAATTGGAATATGAGTGAAGAGTATGGCGTTAATACTCGTTTCTCGTTCTATTTTTTCCAAGAAATTAACAGTGGAATTTGAAGTGTGGCTGATTGCTTAATCTTAATGCAATTCTACTGATTGATGTGGGCAAACAGAAGGTATTTCCTATTTAAAAATTCGGTATAAAATATGTTTTTGATAATATGGGGAGTTGACCTTCTTTGATGATAATTAATGGATCTCGTTTTACTGTAGAAATTTAAGCACCCCAAGATTCGTCCACTGTAACAACGTTTTTCCATTTTTGTCCGAATAAATGTTTCTGATAGAGAATTCTACAGCGCGTTCTTTGTTCGGAGATATGTCGTAGAGAAAGATGGTCCACAATATGTTTTTTTTTCACCTTTTCAAGATTTAAATCGGCTTTAATTCCCTTGTTTATAGGTCCGCCTGAGCATTTTAATGATTTTGCAACTGTCCGCTAACTTGGCTGATTTTGTTTATTAAAGAACTTACCTTTGCAACATTCGAAACATTCCGTTTCCTTTTAGATATGTATTTAGAACAATTTTTCCACTTAAAGGCAAACTTTTATTTTTCCATTCTTGTTAACAGTATTGCCTGTCTTCGCTTTAGATATCGAAACACTATGCCTTTCACAGCAGATTTTAAGAACTAGATATGAATAATTTTCTTTGGAAAAAGCACAAGCATAGCCTCCTCTTCATCTTTCATTTGAAAGCGCCATTTTGTATGAAAACAGAACTGTGAGGCAACGGACGATAATATACACTTTCAAAAATATAATTGCAGTTAAAAAAGTAATTTCTAAGCAGATAATTTGTTTCTATAGCAAAGCAAAATCGTCTGAGAAATGTGCGAACAGCACTTCCAGCACCCTTTCCGGTTAACCGAGCGAGATAAGATTGCAAATATAGTTATTCGGAGGCATGCGCTCGAGATTATGTGAATGGCAACACAGGAACGGTTACGGTTATGGTTACAGAAACTCGAAAATGTCAAATAGCAACGCCAACATTTTCCGGTCGCAAAATGTTCAGCGCACGCGAAAACCTTACGCAGCGTTGGGACGGTACCGATATGTCCAAAAACGGACGTGTTATGCATACTTAAAAAAAGTCCTGCAAACAGACCAACGAAACACGATCAGGGTGAACACGGAAAATTTGCATATAACAGAAGCAAGATACCAATCACAGAACGCCGATCGCCAGATATTCAGCGTTCGAAACCCGATAAAATGCCAGAAGGTTATGTGAAGTCATCAATCGGGAACTCACATATGACGACGAAATGACTCTTCCTGGAAATGTTCGTGATAAAAATGTATTACAAAAATAGAATGAACGCTGCGGAAGCCTTGCGTGTGTCATTTCCAACTACGTGGCCCATGTATTCTTTAAGCTCTGCGTGATTTAGGGCACAAATTCGAAGATGGGGGCTGCAATCGGGATAAACCGCGCTCCGGACGGCCAATAGTTTCTGAGGACGTTGTTACGGAAGTGCATCACACAGTGACTGCAGGACACAAGGAAATCACAAGAGGCACAGCGCGTGTGTTGAATATTCCGAAGACAACAGTACTCAATCTATTGCGCTCTATTTCCCACATGTTCCCAACCGGTACCAGTGCGTCCAGAGGTTGCAGCCGGGCGACCCACAACTACGTCTGGACTTCGCAAATGAATTTCTAATACGATATGATGCTGATAACGACTGGACACTTTGCATGGACGGACGAGGCGAATTTGAAATTAAATGGCAATAAACACGAAGAATTGTGTGCAGTGGGCAGAGACGAATCCTTAGGCTGTGGCACCAGTACCATTATTTGACGCCAAAGTGATTACGTGGTGCGGCACTACAGCCACACCTTGTTCTTGGCCCGTTCTTCTTTGAGGAAACGACACCAACGGGGGGCTGTGTAACGTACTCTGTAACAGGCTCTCGCTATGCAGCATTGCTGCAAAATTGTGTATTACCGGAATTACGTAGGCGGAATGCACTCAGGAACGTCGTCTGGATGCAAGATGTGCACCTCCACATATAGCGAAGTCTGCTAAAAGGGTCCTGGAACAGCATTTTGGTGATCCCATCATCTCACGCCATTATCCTTTTCCTCGGCCTCCGCGATGCCCCGATCTGACGCCTATGGATTTCTGGTTTTGGGGATATCTCAAATCCAGAGTTTACCTGCGCAATCTTCAAACTTTGTCGTATTTAAAGGATACTATACGGCGTGAGATCGAAAATATCCCTCTTGCCATGTTGCGTTCAGCGGTATTGTCCACCGTCTCTCGTATGCAACGCATACTTGCATGTGATGGCACCCATGTGGAAAATGTTTGATCTAAATAAAGGTATTGTTTTGCCCGATTTGTGTTGTCATCAGTGATCGGTGTCTTGTCTCTGTCATATGCAAATTTTTTGCATGCGTCCAGATCGTGCTTCTTTGGCCTTTTTCAGAACTCGTTTTTTGTGTATGCATAAAACGTCCGTTTTTGAACATATCGGTACCGTTTCAACACTATTTAGGATTTTCGCATGCGTTGAACATTTTGCGACCGGAAAGTGTTGACGTTGCCATCCAACATAATCGAGTTTCTATAACTATAACCGTAACCGTGAGCGCCACTGTGTTGCTATTCATTTGTATATTTTTGTATATATATTAACTAGTATAAATATTACTGTATTCATGCGACAGTATTTAACATTGCGTAACATGAAGCCGTTTCGCATAGTGTTAAACTAGAATCTTACTTTAAAATTAACTGCATTTATTACTTTCTGTAGCACTGTATTATGAACCATCTGTTTATATATATATATGTATACAATGTATCTAATGTCTGAGAATCTAGTGATTATTATGTGCCTAATAATTATGGATACGTATATTAGTATATATATTAGTCTACCCATGCAACCACATACAGCATCATGTAACGTAAAAATAACAGCACCAATTACTTGCCCTAGCACAGTATTAAGAAACTAATGTATAAATATGTATATATATTATGCACCTAATGTATATGTACCCAATGACAATTTTGCACCTAATAATTGCGTATAAATGTTACTGAACCCATTCAATCGAATATAACTTCACATAACATGGCACTGTGTCGCATAGTGTCAATCTACGGTCTTATTTTTAAAATACTATACAATTAATTGCATCAATTACCCTCAAAGGCACTCTACAATCTACCATCTACTCATGTATATAAATGCACCATGTACCTATTGTTTATGAATCGAATGCCATAAGTATTGTAAATAGGTAGTACAGTATAGCATTGTAAATAGGAAGCGGTACCCATGCACACGAATATATTTCTTCGTAACGTGACACAGTAAGGCAAAATATCAACCTAGTGTCCTATTATGAAATTAATAAGCCCCCATTCATTGTTTTATGGATCTAGAGTTTATGTAAGTATATGAAGTAAGTACCAAATGTTTATGTCACCAATGAATATTATGTTCCAAATATAAGCATATATACGCTTTTGTCTATATGTAAGTGTGTCTGTATATCTCTGTTTATATGTAATTGTATCCATGTATCTACTAGTATCAGATAACGTGTCACTGTATAGCTTAATATACATCTATTACGCACTGAATAATCATGTACCTATTGTGTACCCAAAATGTCTGCATATATGTATATGAATTTATGTTCTGTATATATGATAATGTAACTACGCATCTGCACATTTTATCCTGTAACACAGCACCGTACCGCAAAAATCAAACTAGGAATCCATTCTAAAATTAATTACACTAATTATCTGTTCAGCATTGGATTAAGTTCCTATTGTTAATTTATGTTAAAGTAGCTCGTACCTAACGATTGGGTACCCACTGATTATTATGTACCTAATACACGTATAATAATATCTTTGTACCTAGGTTTGTACCTAGGGAACAGCACAAATAATCCAGTAGCAAGACACTGTACACACAGTACTAATCCAGGGTCTCACTTTTAATTCACTGTACTAATTACTTATTCTAGAATAACATTGTGCACCTAATGTTTCAGTATGTACATGTCTTGTGTATCTAATGATAGTGCTTGAAAGGATCATAGTCTCCCAACATATAAGTACACACGTTATATAGTATATATGCTACCGTATTCGTGCTTTTGCATATACCTTGTAACATGGTAATGTATTATTCTAGTGTCCAACATTAATTAGCTTTAATACTGTATTAAGTACCAAATTTGTATGTGTGTTTATGTATGTTTATGTCTTTATGCACAATGACTACGTATGGTTATCTATATAAAGGTGGACGTAGTGCTATATCGATTAACCGTATTGGTAGAGAGGTGGTGCCCACGTCCTCCGTCGCATATGTCCGAATAACTATATTTGGAATCTCATCTCAATCGGTTAACCGTAACGGACGCTAGACGTGCAGATTTTAGCAAAGTTTCTTCATGACCGCCATGTATATTTATATAACTCTTGTAGGTAGCTAGTATATCTAAAATTGTATCATATAATGATACAAATTATTATATATAAAGTAAAACTAACCTCAAATACTATAATTACAAGGAACCCACGTAGAGGTTACCTGTTTTACAGAACACTGATTTTCAACGCTGATGGAGATAACTAGATTACCATCGTGCAGTTTAGAATGCAGGTAGGAAGGCAGCTGTGGGCTGGATTCAATAGCTACAGGATATTGATGGAGAACTCGTTGTTCCCAGCTGTCTTGCTCCATTTCGCCGCAGACCGCTTCACAAAATAGTTTCATTTGCCTCCGGAAGTCACTGACTTCAGGAATTTTAAGTTCTGTAGATTCTCGTAGACCTGTAGAGAGAGAAAAATATACTAGGCTATGTATATATTTTGATAAAGTATGATTATATGAAGTTTCGATAATTATAGGCAGAAAGATATTTCATCTTGTTAGTTGGCCTTTCCAAGTTTTTTGCAAATTAAATCCGTATAATTGCATACAAAATCTTTTCTTCGCTTCTATCAGCAAAAAAAAAAAAAAAAAAAAAAGTATTGATTGATTTCTGAAAGACATGATTTCAGATATAAATTTATTAGTGAACATTTATTACAACCTCTTCAAAGTACTGCAGTGCAGTATTTTATTGCAAGTATATGTACATACAAAATTCGATGGTTAAAAGCGCTAACATTTTGCTACAGTGTCAGGAATATAGACTCTATAACAAACAAACAAACAAAAAATAGACGCACAAAGAAGGAATTATCCGATTGCTTTGAAATTTCGTATGCATAAATGTTTTGACCAAATATGCAAATGATTAAAATTTGGAGTCTAATGAATGAATAGTGCGATCTCCAGCGCATTGGAGCTACGCATCCAGCAGATGTATATAAGGAGCTGTTCTTGAACTATTGTTAAAGATTTCTGTTACATTGTGATGTAGGATACCATTCACCGACTGAAAGAATGCCTCACCGCAGGATTCGAGCTCATTACGAGCAACTGTCAGAGTTTGAAAGAGGTCGTATCATTGGATTGAAAGAGGCAGGCTGGGCAAATCGGAGAATTGCTCGTTATATGAATCGAAGCGATGCGGCAATTAGAAGATGTTGACAAGAATGGGTGGACATTGGCAGATTTCAGCGTCATGATGGTAGCGTTCGACCTTGGGCCACAACAGAATAGAAAGGACAGAGTAATTGTCAGATCAGTGTCACAGCGCCTGATTCATAGCTATCAACCATCAGACGTGCAACCTGCCTGCACATGAGTGTCCACCATGACCATTCACAGATGGCTGATAGAGCGAAATCTGCGCTCGTACCGACCATTACGCCACCTGCCACTCACGTCTGCACACTGTCGAGCCAAATTACAGTGTTGCTTGGCTCGATCAGATTGGAATGATTATGACTAGGGACGTATAGTCTTTAGCGACGAATCCCGCTTCCAACTGTGTCGTGACGGTCATTTGAGACGTTCAGAGCAGCGTGCCGATCCTGCTTTCACTATTACATGCCACACAGGCCCTCAACCAGGAGTTATGGTCTGGGATGCCATTTCCCTTGATAGCCAAACCCCTTTGGTCGTCGTTAGAGGCACATTTACAGCTCAGCGATATGTCGACGACATTCTGTAACCTGGTTTGCTACCGTTCATTTTGCAGTCTTATTTTCAGCAAGATAATGCCAGACCACATACGGCACGTGTTGATATGAACTGTCGTACAGCTTGAAACATTTCCTTGGTCAGCCAGATCGCCAGCTCTCTCTCCCATCGAGTATGTCTGGGATATGATGGGAAGGCGACAGCATCTACCAGGGAATGGTGATGACCTAGCCCTACAATTGGAGCAAATTTGGCAAGAAATACCTTTATCAGTCAATTCCACGCTGTGTGGCAGCTTGCATCCAGACTACAAGGGAGTCAACACCTTACTAAGTTCGTTGCTCAAATCATTCAATAATTGTTTTGAAATTTTGATAATTTTTTATTCTGTAATCTAATTTAATTGTACATAATCTTTCTATCCTCCTGTAATTTCTGTAATTTAATTGTACATAATCTTTCTATCCTCCAAATTTTTGTCTCCATCGGACAACTCCTTCTTGGTGTGTCGATTGTTTTGTCATAGAGTGTACATGCATACATACATGACTCTTCGTCATTTAATAATAGTGACCAATGGACTGAAAACCCGAAATAGGAATTCAAATCATGGAAATAGACTAAAGACAAAACGTGTTAATGGTTGGGAAAAATTCGCAAATCAATATACGCATTGTGTAGGAGCAGTATCATGTTGCAAAATTCATGTCCTTAATTATAAATAACCTAATATCTTCAGAGTAGGATTTATTGTTTAAATAAAATATTTTATTCTTGAAAATTACGTTTCACTACTATTATATAAAAGCATTAAAATTAATTTTAATTTACATTATTCTGTTTCTGGGAAGAAATTAAAAAAAATGCTTTGAAATTATAAACTACATTGAAACCTATCTAAGGTATTTTAAGACAGTGCTATTTATGGCGAATGTATTCACCATAAATAGCACCGTCAGAAGGTAAGCAGTTCCCAGGATTTATTGTTCCATTTTCTCTTTGTCACCTCTCTTATTTTCCATTAAGTTTATGTTATTTAAATAATGCATTCAAATAATAAATAGAATTTAAAGTAGAAAATAAAGTAGAACTTTATAATTTTAGTGTTCAAATATAGACATAAATTTATTTAACAAGCATGATTATGTGTAAAAATGCGTAAAATTTTAATTTTTTGGATATATAATTATTAAATGTAAAGGAAACGTGTCTGTTGATTTCTAGGTACTTGCATGTTGCTTTCAGTCTTTTTTAGTCACACTATTTTAACCTCATTTTAAATGTTTTTTTGCCGAAAGCTCTTTGTTGGACGTGAGGATCATCAATCTGAGGTTGGACTGTCCCTTTCTTTCCGCCGAGACTTTAGGGAGAATTTCCCACCTATTGAAAGTGCCTTTTCTGGATTCCAACATGGTCATTATGCTATAACGTTTCTTCTTCTCGACCAAGGTCAACCAGCGTTGTGACGTAGATGTCCTGCTTCAAAGCAAATTTTCTCATCCCGTTCCAAAGCTGCCACATAAGTGTATGTGAGCAAAGTGACATCATTGAGCAGACGGATAAAATACATCACTACCTGGAGCGTCGGAACGAAAGGATTTGACATTGAAAGAGCATAATTTTGTTTGCATATTCATCGTGGTTTCTAGATGGTATGCCAATACTTTTCACCCAGTTAACAAACTAGCCCCTCAAAGAGACAATCTGAAAAGCATCCCAACTTCAATTTGTTAAGACTAGGCGCTATCATGGTCAAGTGATAGTTTTATGTATACTTTTATCATTCCAAATCTGAGCATACGACGAGAAGTGTTGTCAATGGGTTAATATCACAAGTTTATGACAAATTTTGAACGAACATAGCTTATTTTATTAACATAAAACATTTCTCAATAAATACGACAGAAATATTTTATTGCCATATTTGAGCAAAAGAATGCATTCTATAATTAACTTATAGCTATTATGCATGAATGTTAATATTTGCGCAGCACTGTACTTCGCGTATAGTTATGCCAGCTGTGTAAACTTCTTGGAAGTCTGATGTGATAATTCCTTAACTTCTTGTCAAACACTACAGTAGCTTTTATCAGGCTTTATTTATTTTATCCATTTCCTCGAATTTAACGTAAAGTATATACTAGTCTAGTATTGTTCATTTCCAAAATAAAAGAGGTATTGTTCATTTCCAAAATAAAATAGGTTCATACTATATCCCAAGCGTTAAGATTAAATTTTTGTTATGGAAGAAAGAAGGAAAAAATATGTAAACACCGGATTGCATTTACCTGGACCAATAACAGATCTTAATCGCGAGTTGATTATCTTTTCCTGCTTGTCTCCTTTTTTCTCAACCAGCCGGAGGAAAGCTTGGAAAGGTCGCACGTCGCAAAGTCTGCGCTCTTCATCCACAAGTTCTTCTCTCTCCGCAGTGGTAAGATTTATGCACTGGAAGACGTAGCATTCGCTGTCTTTAAGAAGACTGAATAATGGACAATGCTGAGCTGTTTCCCAGACATCCTAATTTCAGAAGCATAAAATATTAATATATATACCTATTTCTGGAAATATTCTTACCAATGCAATAGAATATAAAAGCGTATTACAAGAGTGTAATTAACTATTTGACATTCTGTTTTGTGCACTAGATGAACACAATATTATCCAACTTTCTGACTTAACCGATAAGTCGGGATAAATGCTAAAGTCGTTTAGCATTTCTGACATCTTAGACCGTTTGTATTAACAGAATGATCTGTTTAAAACAGGTTAGAAAAGTACAGAGATTTTTATGGAAATGGAAAGCGTCAGGAAAATCAAATTTACTAACTATAACGAACTTTTGGAAGATTTTTGCAAAAATGAATCTGTAGTTTGCAGCCCACCAACACTCGACACTATCGGATTTGTTTCTTTTAACTACTTTAAGCTTCGTGTTCGTAGATACGAAATTTAAAAGAATCGTTTTGTTTGCTCAAGGTATATGAAACTCTAAAAGGGAAACATATATACCTTCTACTGCTCAGCATGTTGGATTACAAACCATAAATTCATTATGCTAATTAATGTCTAAGGGTATCTAATTGCGTAATTAACTACTTCTGCTCTGTCTCTGCTAAACCTCCTGACCTCGTGGACATACAAAGAACACTATAGAATGTACAAACTTAACTTTATTCTACACCCCCTTACTCTAACTTAATTATATTTTTGTTTTTAAATCATTATCCGCACTACAAAATTCCACCAACCATTATTTACACAGTCAACTTGTTTTTTCTATGCACCATTCTGTTTTTTTTTTACCATAAGTTAACTTGCCTTACATTCTAGTTCCAATCTCACCGCCAGAACGCTACCAGCTGAGGGTGAAGGACCAAAAGCTCACAATAATTTCTAAACCATTTTCAGTTTTTTCAATTTTTTATCTACCCCCCCCCCCCCCCTTAGACTACCGTATACGACCACTCAGAGCTTCTAATCATACGATTTTTCACCCATTCTCCTGATTGGTAACCAAAGCAAGCACAGAAGCACGTAAAGAGAAAATTCTAAATAACTAGTATGCCATCTACCCTCTCGCGCGTTTTACGCCGCCTCCTGCGCTACCGGCTTGAGTCCTACATAACATTTTGGTTCTCCATTCCTGAACGAATAGATGCCCGAAATAAAGCCCGTGAAGAAACCGACCAGCAACAGATATTCGAGTCTTTGGAAGACAGAGGACACCCCCACCGGTAGTTAGGAAACCGCGTATACAGATTTAGGTGGACCAACTGTCTCTTCCCTTTCCCCTAAGCAACGCATAGAATTAAGCTAGTTATTTGTTTCAATGTTTATTAGGTTTTTCTTTTAGACTTTCCTCATCCACCCCTGCAAACCTTCTCTTTTTCTTCTTTAGATCTTATAATTCCTACATTAAAAAAGGTTTTTAAAAATACTTCTTTATCCTAATTTCATTTTTTGCCCTTTTTCCTACAGCCCCCATTCACACGCTTGCGTGCGACGTGCCCTCGCTTTTACTTGCCTCGGATTATTTAAGGTTATTCGTATTCCTTATGTTCTTCCATTTCCCCCTTCCTTTATCTTCTCCTTCTATTTACCACGTGCTTCCGCTCACGGAACTCTTACTATCAAAGTTCTGCCCACAATCCATAACTCTCTATTTGGTTTCATCTGTTTTTGACACTTTTATTTAGCTTGAAATTCTGAAGAAAGGTCCGACTACCCCATTTCTAGTGGACGTGATGGGCGGTGTCGGAAACCACCTTATGTCCCTGCACGGCGGCCTCTCTTAGATCGGTGGCCATAATGGTCCCTCCGAATTGTTTATTCTGATCTTTGTTGTCATGCCTTTAAACGGTGCTCCCCTAACTATACATTGAAGGTTTCATTCATAGATTATAAAGAAACGTTTGAACTAAACCCCCATCCAGCCCCCTCTTGGAAAAAAGATTTTTACTATACAAAAACACACTCCCATTACAAATAACGACCAAGATAAAAGTCCATCCGGGACCCCAACGCCGAGTTTAAACTCGTCATATCCCATAATCGCGTCACCTTCAATCTTTCTACTCTCCTTTGACTACTCCATGACAAAGTTCGTTGTAACATTTTTGTTCCTACTCTCCCGTACCCATGCTCTCTTCACTCCCTCCGATACATATATCCCGGTCCATATCACCAATGAACAGCAACCTTTCATATGTCAAAGTCACCCCGTTCGGAGCTTTTGACGTTCTCACTTCAGACTGAGCGTCCCGCCCCCCTGCTATCTCTTGATGATACGTGTCCATGACTTGTTGTCAAAACGTATAGGCAACCTGTACCATGTCTCCCCTTATAATTCACACGATCTCCTCCCCGCACTGAGGGTACGCTGTTACTTAGACTCTGCATTTAGTTGACCCAGCTATATTTTTAACGTATTATAAACCTGCTGAAGTGCGCGCCTTGTCGGATGTTTCCAGAGTCGCTTGCCCCCCTTATCTCGTTTTAGACGGCCCCTGCAAGCGTCGGCTTTGCGACCAACCTGTCCTTGTAATACTGCGCGAATAAAATCTGCCCCCTCTTCTGTTTTTGATTCTTCATCAAGTGTTATTATCAATTACTCCAAATCCACGAACTCGTAGAACACGACAAGGGAACTCTTTTTGTCTTGACGAACAGAGGCCAGCTTGTAAAAATGTGTCGGTACCTTTACTCAAGTGGCCCGTGGCTCCTCCCGGTCAGTGATTCCTGCCTGCAACGTCCCTCACCCCTTGCTTGACACTATAACGTATCCGCAATTATGGTTGCATTTATCCTGCCCCCACATCACGCACCCGATCAAGTTACTATCGTAAAGCTCGAACCATCTTAGATGACCTGCCATCTTGTTTTTTTTTTGTTTTAAGGATAAGCCGCCTATCGTTATTTTTCGGTTGCCTCACAGCTATGCAAGAGTTCTGTTGGCTTCACCCGCAGTTCTTATCGCCCCCCTCTTTCTAATGTTCCCCCCTATTTTGGGCCAACATCTCTACCGCTGGAATTCATCACACCCCCTTCAACATAACCACTTTTTCCATGTTTTCGTCTCTTGTAGCTACACTTTTTAACTAACAGGGTCACTACAAACACAAAAAGTTAGTCATCAGTAACATTAGATTGTGCGCTCCCCAACCCATAAGCTATTTGAAAATCTAAGAGATATGTAGTTTTCTATTGGCCTTTTTAGCTGTACCTCCCACTTTTGTAGACATTTTCCCTTATTTTATTGCTCTTGCTCCTTCGTTGCAAAAATCTAATTCTTCTAAACGGAATCACCACATCACCCAGCCCTTCACCTCTTCCTCCCTTTCATTCGACCAATACGATTCGCCATTTTCTCTCCACCCCACCACCCTTTTTTCTATTCCCTTCCATTTTTATCTATACAGTTAGACCGAAAAGTCACGAAAGTTGCGTGAAGATCACTCATGGGATTGTCATCTTCCAAAAATTCAGGCTTCTTTTTTTCTTTTTGCATTATTTTGTATAGTTTCTGCCGTTTTCACTGAAATGCGCGGGAACGTCGAGCACGCCCCTCCATTCTTCCTAACTTAGCCAGCATAACCCCACTGACCCCTTACGTTAACACCATAACTGTCCCCCCTCAGTGGACACAACCACGACCGTAGTAAGGAAAAAAAATTACCCACCACTACTCTCGAACTAACCACTCCCTTTTCTTCAACGCACATTCAATCTCCAACTAACCTTTAGCTTTGAATTTTGCCTTAAGAGTTTACTCCAGCAACACCCCCTTCGGCTTTATCCTGTTGTCGTAATTCACCACCATATTAGATGACCACATTTATTACTTTTCCCCTCACTCATCCACCCGGAATTTATTGTATGTATTGTTCCCCTTCTCTGTTATATTTACTGCCATTATGCAGCTCCCTTACTTTTGCTGATAGCCGCTTTTACACATTTTAATTGAACCACACGGCCTGCCAGAATTGTCTCCCGTTCTTTTATTTGTACACCCGCCGTTTCCCATCTTCACACTTTCACCTTCCAGTTTCCCCCCCTTTCCTGCTTCCCCTCTCCCCCCCCCGTCCCCCCCCTCCCCCCCCCTCCCTCCCCATTCCTCTCCCCCCCCCCCCCCCCTCTCCTTCCCTCTTTTTTTCTTCCCCTCTTTTTTCTTCTCCCCCCCTTCTCCTCCCCCCCCCTACACTTTTTTATACAACCCCCCTTCCCCTTCCTCCCCCCCCTACTTCTCAACTTTTTCCAGCCCTCCCACCCCACCCCCCCCCCCAACTCCCCCTCCTTTCCTTCCAGCCCTTTCTCTCACTATCTTTCCCCCACCCCCCTCTTTCTTTACGCTCCACTTTTCTCACTACCACCTACCATTCCTTTCATCTATTCTCCCCCTTGTTTTCCCCCCCCCACCCCCTCTTCTATCCATTTTGTGTCTTTGACTGCTCCACCCTTTCCTGGACTTTTTTCCTTTGTCCTTCTACAATCAAATGTCCTTGCTGTCTCCTCCTCTTCTTGATTCCCACCGCTTGGTACTCTCTTCATTTTCCAGACTTGACGTTATTACCAAGCCCTCTGTTTTTCCACCCCCCCCCCACAGATTACCCACTCACCTCCTCTCTTCCGACTTGCCCCCACGGCAGCTTTTTTTCTGTGTCCTTTTTTGCTTTCCCCCTCCCCCCCTTATTTTGATGAGATTAGTTCCACTTTTCCCATCTCGGTTTTTGGGCTTAACCCCCCCCCCCCCCCCAAAAACAACACAAACAGCCTGTTCTCCCTTTTCCCCCCCCCACCCACTTTTTTTTTTCCCCCCCCCTCCCAACAAAGCCCACCACAAATAATTCGTTACCCCAAACTACCAACCCGGGGCGGTGGGTCTCCACTTTTTTTTCATCCTCCTTGTATCACACATAATTCCCATACATGTATCTTTCTTGTTACCGCGCAGTACCAATTTTTTCCCCCGTCTTCAAAGGCCCCCCACACACCCCCCACAACGGACTTCACACGCTCCTCTCTTTTATTTTTCTTCTTCATAACCGGACATACTGATCTCATAAACCTTATGTAGTATATGCCAAAATTATATCCCCCTTTTACTTTGTCCATAACTTTCCAATCTGTTAAATAGAGAGGACCGACTATTTCAATGCTACGATCGGCTCATGAATTGGAGAAACCTCCCGTTTTGACTTTTTTAGGACCGCCCAAATTTACCACGAGCCGCCGCCATTTTTTCGTCCCAAAAGTAAGATACCGTACGTCCAGAGTTATTTTTTAAAGAAAATTTCCTTTGTTGTGACGCCCCCAGTTCTGTGCTACAACACTCGGTTCCTCGTTCACCCTGACCCGTAGTTTCCCCTCAGCCTTTTTGTTGTCTTTCACCGGCACTTTCACACCGCTTGCCATTCCGCGGTTCCCCGATTCCCTTTTACCCCCCGTATTTAGATCCGTATTTTCTTTTGTAATTTTCCACTGGCTGCGCCGATTCGGAAAATACCCCACGTCCATTTTTTTACTCTCCTACAACCCGTGCGTATGCCGCCCCCACCACAACGTTTTTCATGCATTACCCCGAGGTCAGCGACCAGGGTCGATAGTCACAAAAGTCTCTTAAATTGTTTGTTCATGCGACGAACAATTTTGTATTCTTTTGATACTCGACAAAATGCTGGTAACGTTTACCATGTCCGTTGTCGTGTTCATTTTTTCTCTGATCCTTGGTAGGAACGATGTCTTATTCATGACGAACAAACGACACCTCTTTTTTATATGGTCGCGCCCACTTTCTCGGATCTCTAATGCCATTTTTTCAGAGAAATCTTCCACCAGAGGATAGCAATTTCGTCGCGTCAATTGCCTCCTGATCATACCCCCGGCGACATTGTTGTTCCCATCACCCTGAACACACCTACCCTTATGAAGTTGTCCCGACTTGTCACTTTTAGTCTAGGGTCCCCACAGGCAAATTGCCCCCCCCCAGTGCGCGTGGGTTCCAACCCAGGCCGGCACACCTTCACTGTTTCGGACTTTGTCTCCCGGGATACAAAAGCTTGTGCACCCGAATTAAACCCAATAACGAGGGTGATTAGGTACCGTACACTTCTTTCCCAAATAATAAATAATCCAGTTAATAACATGTAACCTCGACGCTGTAACTAAATCCAAATGTTTTTTTTTTTAAGGAGAACATGCCGACGCCACCTTGTATCCTTTAATTTTCGAAATCGACTTTCGTATAACTAGTTATCACAACGCCCCGGGACGCACCCCCGCCCCCCCGGGAGCCCGGCCCCGGTTAGGAACCGGGTACAACTAAGACAAATCAACTGCGTTATTGTTTTTCATGATAAGAATAAAGCAATGACTTTTTTTAATTTACAAACGTTGAACATTATCTGTGACACCTCCGTGTCAAGGTAAATAACAGTTTTTGAACACGCATTTTCTCTTGTGCGCCTTTCCGGAGCCCACCCCAGCACAGGGTAAAAAATACTCGCCGTTGTTGCTTCCCCACATTTCTTAATTTCATTTTTGATGCTATGCCCCTTAATTAAGAGGAAGAGGCAGACTCTAAGTTTTTTTGTTATCAGTATTTTCTGAATTACTGATAATTTCTAACGCAAATTACAAACTAGAGCCGCCCCTTAACCCACACTCACCCACTGCTACCACCATAACACCAGCCCAATTGCGCCCTAACCCCCTTGGATTCAAACCACAAACTCTGACCCCCTTACATTCCCCCCCCACACCCCTGTGTCCTCTGCTAGTCCCCCTTGCTCAGATATACTCTCTGTCTTCTTTGTTTTGTTTGTTTTCACCTGTTGTCCGCACCCAGACTAATCTGTTACACCACCCCACACACACCCCCATTGTCTCTCCATAATGAAGGGTACTCACATCTAAATTCCTATAATTTCTTCTTCCTGCCCCTTGTGTTCTCCGGCCTGCTTCTTACTCTTCTTCCCCACATGACACCTTCTCCAACGCATATCCTTGCTTTTATCTTTTCTACTTACCTTATGCCGACAAGCTCAGCCCCACATTCTCTCTTTTTTCTCCTCCTCGTGTGTTTTCCTCCTCTTTCTTGTAACCACCTTACTTCCCGTCTCGAATGTGTATTGGCCTTCTCCTGACCCCACACGCTAGCCCGCTTTTTTTTTTCCCTCGTTGCTCTACTTTCTAAATCAACTCTGGCCCCCAATAGTAGGGAATCTCAACACCCCCGATTGCTTATTACCTCGCACCCCATCACCATTATTTGATTCTCTTTGCACTAAACTAAGGTCTTAATTTGCGGTTTAAATCCTTCCCCCCTACTGTTTGTACGTCCCCCTTATTGTTAATTTTTTGCCCAGTTGAATTCGTTTCATCGTCGTTCCTGTAAGAATCTTTCAGTCGCTTACACCGACCCGGACCAGAACTTATCTTGTTAACGCGCACTTTTCACCCCACCCAGGGTTTAGCTGATACCTTCTTTATATATGGTACCTGTTTCCTTGTATTTTGATTTAATGGCGCTATTTTCACCCTTTTTATTTTTTTTTCAATGTTTACCACTCGGATGACTTTACCTCTCCTGGTAGGGCTAATAGCCATCACCAACCTCCACCAACCGTGCCAGAATTTTAAAGTAATCCTGTTGTGTTTGACAAAATGCCCACCTGAGCATACCCGAGATTATTTAGATTTATAAAATCGCCCATGGAGAGAGGATTTTCGAGTGCCCTCTCCCTCCATACCCTTGTTTGATATGGCTGCGATACCTTTGCGCCTCTAACCGATCCTCCATGATCTTTTTTCAAACCTTATATTGACTGTTTTTTTTGTTTTTCATACTCACCCTACGTCGTATATCCCTCCTTGATTATCATATAACTCGCTCCCCCCACCCCCTTTTTTTTATTACTGGTCTGGTCCCCTCCCGCCATCTATGATGACGAGACCTTCTTCTGTACTACCTATTCATGGTTCGTCTTTCTCTCTGAGATTCTCTTATACCTTATTGCACATCTCAGTTGTCTTGCCGCGATTGTCTTACGAGCCAGCGCTTCCGCCTTGCCGACCCTACGTCGCACCCCTCATTACTACCTTTAGACCCACATAACCCCAGGAATTCCACCTCGAGTTTGCTTCTTTCCTTTTTTTGTGTATAAGCCTTTTTTCTTTTTTATACACACCACGATTTTCTTCTCCTCTCGTCATGTGTCTGTGTGCTCCCTTTCACAATCACTTTTTCGGCTTTCTTTCCCCCCCCCAGGAGATTTTGATGACGATCCCGTTTTTTCTAGACACGCTCTTTTAAGTTACCCCCACCTCTTTCACTGAGCTCTCTTGAACTATTATCTTTTCCGTTTTTTTTACACCCTACCTTTGTCTTTTTCCTCCCCCCTGCGCCCATTAAAATACGAACTCTCCCCCCCCCGATATGTAACTTTACCACCGAATACCTTTGTCTTTTACCCCTCTCTTCGCACTATATCATTTTTTCTTTCATTCATGTCTTATTTTCCCTTCGTTGCGGGAAATGTAACGTATTTTTCCCACACTTTGTAACAGTCAAATTTTTCACACCAATTGTAAATCATTATCAGCCTTTTGCCTTTTTATTGGCACCCACTCCCCTTGTTACCAGTATTATTCCCCCAGTCCGAGTCGCTTAAATTTTGCTCCTTTTAAGTATTTGCAGTTTATTTTTTCACGTAATTTCTCAAAAGGAAAGCTGTAACCCGCTTCCAAAATATCTGGCTTTTTATTATACAACTAACCCCTCAAAGCCTCCCGTGTTCAACTAAGGTCGATCCCTACACACCCAGCCTGGTTTTTGAAGCCACCCCATGACCCCCCCCCCGTTAACCTCCCCATCAAGGCGCTCGTATAAGCAACTACCCACCCCAACCAGCATTTTGTCTGACAAGCACAAACACAGTTCGACTTTCCATAAATACTCTCTCATTACATTTCTGCCCGTGAGGAACCCCCACAGGAGGAAACAGCTACGAAAAGGATTAATGATAGTAAAAGCGGAAGGGAAATATAATTAACTGCGTAATTCAAATACCATCGAAAACAGCTTACCATACTTTAAGCCTGGATCTTTATGACCCTTTTATAAAGAGTGCTTTTCTGAGTTAAATCCTCACTCATCGTGTATCCCCATACAAACTCATCTCCTCCTGTGGATATTTCAAGAACCCTGTTTTATGATCTTAATCTCATTACATAATTCCCGTCCCCTCTGTACTAAGAGTATGGGGCACATTTCCACAACCCGTTTTTATCTAACAACCCATTCTTTGCTGGCTCCTTCAAGATATTTGTTACATACTGGCCTAATTTAGACTACACAACCTAATATCCTTTAACGAGTGTATGACCCCCCCCCGCCCCGCCTTTTAAGCCCATACCCGACTGCATCCCCCTTTCCCCGACTTTTACTACTACAGGTCCGTTTGGATAAATGACATCATATAAAAGTACTGACCTTTCCCTATCCCTTTTCGGTATCCTTTTCTTTCTTTCCCAGCCTTTCTTGAGGAGAC